TGTTTGATTGTCAATAACTCTCTTGTCATGTAATCGTTCGAAAACCTTTAAGTACTTTGTAGAGAGAGCTTCAACTAAGATTTACAGAGTGGCGCGAATTACCGTTCTTTCCTCATTGCTGTAGGGTTACGGAAATCGTAAAGTATATAGCGCCACTGTGAGGAGGTTGTTCGAAAAAATATTTAAAAAAACCTGGATAGTTGTGTAACAAATGCATGCCGATTTCATTATATAACTTCAGAGCTTTTTTAGTCGCAATTCAATTTCTGACGAATATCAAAAATCGGTAGTTACGGTATCCGGCATAACTCAAGATAAAAGCGTCACGGTGAGGTGCGAAGTTCATATTTGGAATCAGCGAATCAACTTATTGTGAGAGTTATCAGCTTCTGTACTCATTTTCAAGCGTGAAATATGACCCTCAACTACGCAAAACCCTCCTCAAAGTTCTTACCATAATCCCACAATAATGAAGAGAGAAAGGTAATTCGCTCCACACTTCATATCTGGGTGAAGCTCGCTCTACAAAATGGTACCTAAACTTCTCGAAAGACTTCTTGACAAAAGAGTTATTAACAGTTAAAAAGTAGGCACATCTTTTCTAGGACACTGTGTAAATCGTGTTCTCCTCTGTGTAAAGCAGGCGGAGCCAGTGGTCGCGCTGCCGCTGCTTGTGCCTTGTCTGCGTCGATGAATTTGCAGAAATTAAGGTCTGTTTGTCTGTCTGTGTGTCTGTGTGTGTACCTGTCTACGCATATTCCAAAGAAATTATCTCTGAAGCGATCCGGACCAAACTTTGCACGCATACACTTCCGGGCGGTCTGGTGTTAAAGGCTACTCTTTACTACCAGTCATTACATGGGGAGATTCCATGTCAGACATGAAACAAATGAATCAAAAACACAAAAGAACGCATGTAAGAATATACAATGAAAACAAAATCAAAATAAAACAATAGAATTACAAATTTCCTATTTCCGTTTCGATCTTAGACACTAGACGCAAATCATACAGCTTATCGTTAGAACCCGTGTGTTAGTAACAGCTTCCATTGTCGGACCGTAAGCAACCTTTTGAAATGTTTTTGAACAAAGATAGCTTAGCAGGAAAAGACCGAATTCTTGTGAGCCTATCCATAACATAAATAACACGACATTCGAAAACACTTCACCCGACTCGAAGTCTGGCCCTGGGGATAATTAGTTTTCTGAAACCACCTCTAGTATTAGTATTGTATTGGATAGTCTGGTAGGAAAGGACTACTTAACCTCCAAGACGCAGATTCCAAACAAGATCTTATTGAACATTAGGAGATCACTTCTACGCCTCCTATGAGCAAGAGATGACAAACTTTATTTTCCATTATGAGCCTTACTATCAGGTGAATTATGCGCAAAACCCATGATACGAGTAAACACTTTCCGCGTAAAACTGTTTTGAACCTTTTCCAAATGATTTATGATGTTGACTGAATGAGAGTTGTATATCACTATACCATACTCCAACATAGGTGTGATATAAGTCTTGTATGCTTTCAAGAGAAACTTTACGTCCTTTGTTGAGAGGGCTCTGAAAGTTTGTAAACCGCCCGCACTACTTTATCTGCAAGAAACCTGCAATGATCAAATGTGAGGTTATATTTCACCAGGAATCCCAGGTCCTTGACCCACTCTTCCTGCAGTGCTGAATGACCCAGAAAATAGATGGAGTTTGGATTACAATTGTAATGTGATGGTCCTCTGTGAATAAATTTGGTTATCAAACTACTATCGATCGACATCGATTTTATTGACTTTCTTAGTTTGAACTGGGGTTGGCACAAGGGTAGGTGAGCTTGCTGATTACGAATACAATATTACTTTTTAGAATTATCGGTTGCGTTCATCGACTTTATCGACTTTTTGCAAAATTTGAGCTAGGGCTGAGAGGTGGCAAGGGGGGGGGGAGTGAGCATGCTGACACGAATATATTATTGAGGCCGGGCACCGGGTTTGCCAGCTAGTGGATAATTTCTTCTTATTCCTTCTTATCTCTTTGAACCACTCATAAGGGATAACTGCGGCTGAATTTCGCAAGAGTATTGGGATTCCCTTTTGAGACAGCAGTTGGCTTGTAAGTTCTATACCCTTTATTCATCGAGTACGATTCGATAAACCATGTGATATCAATAGTCATGAGATGGTGGGAACTTCCCCCACAGTTTTTTTTTCCGGACGGGCAAGAGAACAGAGAAGTGTGAACGGCGAGACACGCAGACAACATTCAGCTGTTATCGATTGGTGGACCACCTTTGAGGCTCACGTTTTGTATTGTCATGACGTAAATTTCTAATCCGATTCAGTTTTTCTGCTTTCTTAGTCATTTGAAGTGTCTGTGCATCTGTGGATTATCTCCTTTTTGTAGCTCTCGGCATAGCGTACTTCATCAGAGATCTTATTGTTAGAATTTCCGTTGAGTGAAATGGACAACATTTCAGGGCGGTCGGGCAGGAGGCAGCAAAGGCTCGCCGCTTCTGCTTATGGAAGTACCTGAGGAACTTCAGACTTCCTCGCGCCTCTAATCACTTCTTCGCACTTCTAATTATAGATGACCTATGCCAAATTGATCGTTGATTTCTCAAAGCGTGGCAAGTTTTGAGATAGCTTTTATGTTTCAAATTCGTAGCAAGTAAGATATAATAGATAACAAGTTCAAAAAGGTCTCATAGATAGCCATTCAACGTCAAATGATTTTGAAGTATGATTGGTCTATTCAATCTTCAGACCAGAATCTCAAACATAAACATGTAAATCTTTCTTAGTCATTCCGATCGAAGACAAGAACTTTGAAGAATTATTATTATTGCACTCGTCCTTTATTCTGCATCAGAATCAGTTCCTTCTCTGTTGCGAATTTTGGAGTAAAATTTCCTGGACCCAATATCCAACTAAGTTGAAAACGATTATAGCTGAGATTGAAAGAATTTGCCAGAATCTCAAATTGATCCGGGGTGAGATACCTCCAAAAGATTTTCGTTCAATTCTTCAACTTGTAAAGTATCAGAGGTGTGAAAAATGATTAGAGGCACGAGGAATCTGGAGCTCCCCAAGCGCTTCCAGAAGCAAATGCGGTAAGCCTTTGCTGCCTCCTGCATGACGTCCACATTTCAGCCCTTGAATTTGTTCTCCTCAATGTGGTTTTGCAGGCGTTGGCTTATTGGAAAGACAAAGGAAGTGTTAGGCTGTCATGATAACAGCCATTTACATACATTGGCAGAACTGTCGTCAGTTTTTCTTTTTCGCACAATATACAATTACTGCAATTTTTTTCGAAAAACAAACAAATATGCAGAAATGTTGTGATTTTCTTCAAGCCGCTATTCTCTTCTTTCTATCTTTTCATCTTGGTTTTCATCTTTCTTCACAAGAAATCCGCATCCTAACTTTTCATTGTGAAGAGGTATTAGGTCTCCAAACTTAATACGACGCTGCTTTGCAAAAGATGATTTGGTAGTTGTATTTTCTCACTATACTTTTTGACCAAGTTGGAAGAAAACGTTGTTAAACCACAACTCCATTAGCCCATACATATATGTATAGATTCAAACAAGTAGTGTTTATGCAAATATCATATTACAATCGCTTTTCTTTCACTGTTACGACATTTTGCAACGTCTCCTTCATTTCAAAGCACTCTCTAATTTAACTTTATTCGCTTGGGTGTCTCTAACGTGTGCAGCTGCAGATTCATTGGGTTGGGGTCAATTACAATGTTCTTCTTGTTGCTTTCTCGTTTTCTTTTGAATCGCGATTTGTTTGAGAGACGGGGGACTGGGTGTCACCGGTCTAGATCTATGAAGTTGTGCAATCGCACGCGTTAGCCTAGAACGTCATTTGGCTCTGCTGTACTATATTTGTCATCCTTTCCGTGACTATATTACTTGCTTACGCTTTGTAGACCCATGACTAACATTTCTTAGGTTCCACATCATTTTATATCAGCTACCCACAACTTGAAATCGAAAAAAAAAGACATGTTCGAGTGTTTGAGTAAACAATTGCGTGCTAATTCGAATAAACTAGTTCAAGAATAAATGAGCTTTATTGCTAGTTGAAAGGAGTATGTTACCTAATTTTAACTTTTTGAATGTGGCTTCTATTCTCGAATAGTACACATTAAATGGGTAAATACAGCTGTAAGTTCATGCTTCAGAAGCCCTTCATACTAGCAATGGCAAGAAAGTTCAGTGTAGGTGCGTTTCCGATTCTGATAAAATACTCTTCATATGCGTCAAAACTCAGTGACGTGTTTTTATCTATACTTAGCGCTCATCGTACTTGTGCTGCAATCTCGCCATCAAATTAGTGTTTTGAATGCACCAGAAACCACCCCTTTTCTCGCTAAGTGTCAGTGCCCGCCGCATGTGTGCCCATGAATAGAAAATGCACCTGTTGTGATTACTGTTGTGCAAAAGCTTTCATCTCCGCATTGTTGAGCTTTTGTGTAGGAGATTGGAAAAAGGACGATTACCTATTTGGAAAGTTTGTCGTTAGTTCAAGCTGTTGCTAAACTTAGATTTATACATATCTACGGATTGCTAGAATCTTTCTCTCCCGGTCTTTTTCATGGCCGTAGGCTACAGTTTTCTCGAGGAAATCGAAGTTTTGTACTGCGTGAATCTATCTAAATAATCCGGATTTTTGTGTGTGACATGTGTTTCTGTAGAAGTTTTTTTGTGTGATTAAACCATTATATGCTGTTAATCCGCATCACTATCCAACGTTTTTCCGATCTTTCTCGTCATTGCATGTCTTTGTCGTTGTTGCACAGTTTCAAGTGTTCAAATATTTCTTCCTGTTCTTATTTTCAAGCAGTCATCTTCTTATGTGTCATAAAAACTTTCCTCTACCTTTTATTTTAATTTTTATCGTTGCTAAGATCTCGAGAGAGTCAGATCTCCCTCACCGTGCTTTTAGCTCTTATGTAGCGCTTGCAGTCGCCTACTATCCTCCCATTATATAGGATTTTCAGGTGTCCAAGCTGTTATGTCGAATCGAACTAACTGATGCGTGCATATTTTATTGGTTTACTACTTTGCTTATTCGAAGCAAAACAATGTTATCATATGAAAGCCTCGCAGATTCGAATATCAGAGATCGCGAAAGGCGAATACGAAAAATATCTGAGTGAGTTTGCACAGCTTTTGCCATGGATTACAAACTTTTATACCTCCACTATTTGCATTGCTAGGCCAGTTACCTTTTTTTAGTAAGAATAACATAAAAATTGTATACTTGCTTTAATCCTAATCTATGATTTACATGTGAACAATGGTAAGAAGAGCTAAATTCGATTTTTTTCGAATAATACCTTTTGTGGAAATTGAAAATACGGTTGAACTTCTAAGACTGGGAACAACTCAGCATTGCTTCGAAAAAATCATGAAGATTTTCATCTTTTCGACCTTTAGACGAGGGAGAAATATAACACCAGTCTATACGAATGCTCGTATAGAATGTGTCTTATGTGAGCAAGTTGGGACTTGGACTTTTTGAATGGATCGCTTTTTTCACGAGTTTTTGGGCACTTGAATCTTTTTGGTTTTCTGACTTAGATGTTCGAATACCCCTTGTAGAATCTACTTCGCTCTATCGAATAATACCCGACGGCCTGTCTAAAATATAGAAGAAACATGATTTATTTTTGTGCCAGTACTTTACCACTTTGGGGCAAAACTTATATTTCATCCTAATACTTGCAGCTGACACTTGCCAAGAGCACAAAAAGGAAGCATATTCGGTGGATGATTATCTGGAATGGGAACACAATGAATTCTTGCGAAGTCTTCGAATAGCGTAAGTACTTTTCGATGTGGTTTCCATATTTTTTCAATGTAGACAACTCTCACCTTTCTTGCGACTCTTTCCGTAGCCTTTCGATCTTCAAATAATTTGTTTTTCGTGAAGAAATCACACATGTGACAACATCAGTTATGTGGTTTCCTCTGCTAATCTTGAAGCTTCCTAGTGAAAAGTATACCTAAATATCTCTTACAGATTGCTGCCGGACACTGCTGATGGTGACTTCCGAGCGGCTCTGAGTACTGGTATGCTAGATGTGGTACCAGCATTATTCGATGTCCCTGAGAAGCCTTCTGGTAGCTGTCATCGACGAAATCAAACGGTCGACTTTGAAGAACGAATACATGTTTACACATCGTTCGAGGATGTTTTGCTCGATCTGTAAGTTATGAATTGTCATTTTGTTTTACTTCTTCGTTTGTAAATCTCAACCAAACTCAGCAATTGGAATTCTAGAGTTTTGTCGTCAAAAATTGCCGAGGGACAGCTTGGACCCATTTGAGTCACGAATTTTTCGGTTCTTCCCAAAAGGGAAGCTTGCGCTTGACGTTTGTATCTTTTTTTCCCAACTGATAGAACTGAACTTGGAACTTTCTTTAACTTGCATCTGAATCAGCTCATCATATATTTTCTTTCCACTAATTCAAAAGTCAGATCTTGTAATATTGCCTTCTTGTTCATACATTGCCTGTACATTTTTTGTATTTCTGCGTAATCCAGATTATTTTCGTTCACGGCTCCCCAAAAAACTAAGCAAGATTGTGTACATATGTTTCAATGCATATCAGAGAAACTTCTTTGTGGTACATTTTCTGCGTACGATGTGCACTCCTCGCGTGATCACTGCTCCCATTCATGACCGTCTGTCAGAAATCATTTGAAGACATCTGAAGTTACATTGCTTGTGCAAATCTTGAATCTGATTTGGTGTATGAGTGTATTTGGAGTCTTATTGCTTGCTTTACTCGTGCAGCCCTCACTTAAGCCTCTTATTCACTTGCTGGCTCGTCATCATGTTCTTATTAACCTTTATACAATTTCCTTGCATTCACTTTTGAGGTTTAGACAGAAAAAAGTTGCTTACATCACAATAAGAGCGCGTAAGCCTGCATTGCCTCTTTTCTTACACGTTCTTATTGAGCATGGAATTCAAATGATCGGGGTACGTGTGTTATGTTTGGGCACTTAGTGGTAGTTTTGAGGGGTTCTATAAAGGGTTGGGCTTTTGCAGATTTGCTTTTCGTTATCAATTTTGTCGAGTGGCACGTTTCGTTTTGAAAATAGAAGAATAGTGAGACGTTGGCAGCGAAAGTTCTTTTGCTCACCTTTTTGATTAAGGACAATGTATCCTCTGATTTTGCCTTGTCTGTTGTAGTATAAAACTGCTCTTAATGGTACACTTTCGTCCTCTAACAGTCATGCTTGGTTCGAAATGAGCAATTGAAGTTTTCTAAAAGCGTGAGCCTCTTTGATTGTGGTTGTATTGGTTACCTATATATTACTTTGCGTAGTCTTGAGCCCATTATCGTCACGGGAGCCATATAGCTTTAGTGCCTAGTTATCCAGATGCCAATTTATACGTTTTATCTTCTTTTTTTCAATATTGTATCGATTGCTTGATTACGCTTGTTTGAAGCTATCTATGTTGAATGAACATTTGGTCAAATGAGTTGTATGCATAAATGAATATTTTATGTTAGTGTTTGCATACTTGAGTGTTATAGCAGCAGAATGAGTTCCACTGGATCGTGCTTCCATCGCACTGCATTTGCCATTTATCCTTTGCACTTCTTTATCTCTACGACTTGTATCTGATCATACCTTCAAGGTCATAGGTAATGACTCGACTTTCCCATTTTGTACATGTTTATTTGCACTCAAAGTATTACTTTTTTTTCAAGCCCAAGTACGCAACATAAAATGGCTAGAGCTTTTTGGGTAAAAAGTTTTTTTTATTAACGATGCTATAATCGTTTTTCTTTTTAAAATGCTATAATCGTTCTCTTTTACACACACGGCTCGGCACAGGTGGCTTGTAAGCCAGCTGGTATCGTTTTTTGGGACGAAAAGCAAGGGGGGTTTCGTTTTTGTGACCGAAGAGACACGGAAAATTGGCGACGGCGACCTTTTTTTTTAGTCGACGTTTCGTTTTTTGGGGGATTTTGGGGAATTTTTCAGGTTTTTAGTGGAAATTTGGTTGAGGGTCAAAGGGGACTTCGTAAAAATTCCCAAAAATCAGGGGGGACTTCGTTTTTTCCATTTTCATCTAGCCTCGTGCCGAGCCCTGTTTACAAATGTGACAGTTACTGCATAGTTCAGTCTTGTTTTATCTAAAGGTCTTTCATTTTATTATCATTTCTCTTTCGAAGTTCTTCAGCCGCAAATCCATTGAACTGCAAAGGATGGTGCTCTTGAACCAGTGTAACACGGCCCGACCTGGTTTAGCGCAGATTTATTGTTTACGAGGTAACATGATCACAATAAATAACAAAGGATAACGTTGCCTAAATACGATTACAGTCCCGTCGTAAATGAATTCACACGAAATTGAGAGATAGGGGAAGCGGTATATAGAAGCGATAACAAGGAACAAAAACTTATTATTTTTCGTTGACTAATAACGACTTCTGTCTACTCTTGAGCCGGAGCTTTCTCGGTTTCGAATGGCTTGGCCAGTGTGATCTCACCGCTGTCAGTGATGACAACATCTTGAGCTGGGCGATCTCCGGGCTAAAAATAACAGTGAAATGGAAGCGTTTTTCCAGAGAATTTGGATCTCTTACGTTAGTTTTGGTGTTTTCGATCTTGCGAACGACGCTCATGCCTTCAAGAACTTTTCCGAAGACGACGTGACGTCCATCGAGCCACGGGGTCTTGACCTGCAAAGAGGGATAGATAGATTCAGTTTTGTTCAGATCAATCTCATTTGAAGGTCACACGAATCAAACGGCGATAATCAACCGAGTAATTCATTCTATTCGAAAACTAGTTACCAAGCGAAGTCAATGCGGCACGAATGGTATGGGATCGATTTTTTTTTCGTGAAAGCTGCGGTTGTGGTCATCAAATTTTGAACTTTGAGCAATCTTGAGAAACTTACAGTACAGATGAAGAACTGTGATCCATTGGTGTCTGGACCAGCATTGGCCATTGACAACCATCCAGGTCCGTAGTGTTGAAGAGCGAAGTTCTCATCCTTGAAACGTTCACCATAGATGGACTTGCCACCGGTTCCATCACCGCGAGTGAAGTCACCTCCTAAAAGAAGTAGCTATAGGGTCGTAAAGTGTCGCAAGCATGGTAGTAGATCTTACCTTGGATCATGAAGTCCTTAATGACACGGTGGAATTTGCTGCCCTTGTAGCCATAACCTTTAGCTCCAGTAGCTAGCTGTAGGAAGTTCTCGGCGGTTTTTGGTACAACATCGCCAAAAAGTCCGATAACAATGCGACCAGCCTAGAATGGACATGATTTTGATGCTGCGGTAAAGACTAGTTTAACTTGCAACTTACTGGTGTGCCTCCAATACTGATTTCGAGGTAAACTTGCTTGGTAACAGTTACCGTATCAGCAGCTCGAGAATACTGTAAAGGGAGTTTAAACGATGAACGTGGAGGAGAAATGAAGACATACCGAGAAAAGGCCGATGAGGCCGAGAACTACCACTGCTAGCATACCCACTGAAACAAACAGAATTTTATATAATTTCTCACAGAGAGATAAAAACAACTGAGGAGATGAGCTAGTAAGTAGGGTATCGTTGAAACGAATTAGAAAAGAACACAGAAATAGACCGCCCTTACAATGGTCGCCATAGCAAAGCCACTAAAGATTCAGCAATGTGCCCGAATAAACATCGGACGGAGCCCCAACTACAGGTCAGAGGTCAGCACGATAAGAGCACTGGAATCGCTCGGAACGGGGACACAAGGTCATTTAGGTTGAGATAAGACGAAACTGTGGTAGGGTATGAGGATTTCATGATGACGAAAATCTCCTAGAGAACTTTTTCAAGGCTGCGTAAAACCAGAAACTTCCGTAAACATGGGGCGATATGCACTTTAGGACTGGAAGTTCCATCTACGACTTTAGAGACCCTTTTAAAGCTTCACTCTAACGCTGCAAAGACGCAGACTTTTTTCTCAGACTGCAAGGAACTGCAGATGTTTGACAAAGTGTGTCCAAACTACTGCATCAAGGCATTATTTTGGTTGGTTTGGCTAGAGACACAGATTCAGCTGGTTTTCAGCCAATCGCGCATTGGGGAACAAAACCCAACAATAAAAACTGAAAGTACAAATGATCCGTGCAAGAGATAGAAATCGACATACGATAAAGTTTGCATCGGCCACCTCGTGCGAAACGCCACGTCGCCATAAGATTCCACAAAGGGGATGGGGGGCTGTCAGCTTTCGATACGCAGCGCACACGAAAGAGGAAACCGTGACCGTCGCGCGCGGAAAATGTAGGGGAGCAGACATTGCGCAAAAATGTGGACCTATTAGGTGCGTTCGACTGCTTTTTAGGACATTTTTATTCATCCCAGACTCGTTTTCGCAGAAGGGTATGCTACTCATTTACCATGAAATGTGCTACAAGCTTTATCTACAGGAAGAGTCAGTTTCTGCTACGTGTTAGAAACTAGCATGAAATATTCTCTTTTTGGATAGAGTTTATTGAAGCTTCTATATCTTCCTATAAATGAGAAGTCCATCTTTCCTAATGTCACTTTGCTTGAAAAAAAAGCTCAGATTGTTCTACTATGAAGCATTAGTACTGAACTTTCAATAGTGGTTGTTTTAGTTATTACTAAATTTAAATAAAGACAGAAAGGGTCCTTCGGCACGACTCCTGAATAATTTCTATTTTGGAGGTTACCTGTTCTAGTATTTCAAAAAATAAAGGGCCATTGTATGAAGTTTTGCACTAGCGACAGTAGTGGGATAGAATTTGGGCTCTCAAGGTTTCGTTGCCGGGAGACGAAAGATTTCGATGGAATTTGAATTTATTGAATGAAAATGCGGGCGGCTAAAAATGATATAAAGCTGTTGCTTAGTCGTAGGGTGAAAATTGTTGCTTAACGGTGTCCATATTACTACCACTGTTGATGGTGGCTCTTTCGTAAAAATCATGAAACTCAAAATATATTGAAACAGAGGCTCTGAAAACAATGAGCGGATATGACGAGCTATTGAAGAGCAGCCGCTTCGAAGAATTTTTTCGTTAACAGGTGGGTAAATAAATGATGCAAATAGTAGCTAGTTATGAGCGCGAGAGCATGGAATTTTCGACTTTCTCAAAGTGAAGTTTAAAAAAAGCCTTGAAGCAATGGGTTTAGTGTTCAAAATTTTATCGTGCTTTTGCCTTCCTCGTCTTCAAACTATAGACTGCTCGCTTTGTTTTATTTTTGAGACTTAAAGTGCCACAGATTGCTTATACCCGTACGAGCAATGATCATATGGGCTTTTCTTATGTTAATCGGAAAATCGCAGCTTATCCTCGGCAGGTGTTTGGATGCAAGTGCTTTCGTAAACACATCTACGAGTCTGTGGAGAAGGATAACTAGGGGCTGAGAAGGGCTATTTGTTATGTAGAAGAAAGACTGTTAGTAGCACCAAATAGTGTTTGTGTTTAAAGACAAAAGTTGTACCTGATGATCGGGGGGGGGGGGGCAAGAAAAGAATGTGGACACTCTGAGTCCACTCACGAACGAACAATCTCGCTTGACACGTTGTGGTACGAGAATGAGGAAGTGTAAACAGAAAATACTCGAGAATCTTGCTTGTATACGTTGCAATCGAAAACTTCACCGACAAGGTCGAACAAGGCAAAAAAAGCGATTGCTAGCTTTCTCTAGCGCTTTATGAAAGAAGGATTATAGAATTTGCAAAAACTTGCAGAAAAATCACGTTGAAAATTGCCTAGTTACATCAAATTGATTGACAAATGCTTTGACTTCAAAGTAAATTTTTTGATCCATCAGGAATTTTGTGTTGAAAATCATTTTCAACACAAAACTCCTGATACAGTTTTTTTTATTGTGCTGGGCAAACTTTGTGCTCAGTTTCGGTTGTTTCTGAGTCATAATATGATGTTAATGTTGTCATTTATACTTGAGCTTGATCCTTAATTTTTATACCAATCTCTACTGATTTACTCACTTATTTGAAAAAAAAAGACCTTTTGTACATTGTTTTTGAACTCTCTACTTCTCAGGAGTACTAGCGTCATAGTGGTAACTAACAAAAAATTCAATAAATATTCTTCTAACTTTTCGTACGACGTTTATAACTAGACATGATGACAGCATAAGAAAAAGTTATAAGTTTTGCCTTGTTAAGAAGTAACAAAAGTAGTAGGATTCAGGTTATCTAAGTAAGTGTAGGTAAAGAAGTTCATTAAGCTTCTTCGTCATTAAGAGATAGAGTTCGCATCGAGAAAAAGTTTCAGAAGGAGGAAGAATGAATATAACAACAAAAAACTAGCCCCTTTGTGCAGTGGATGGTCTACAGGTAGGTTCTTGCCTTCATAAACTCCTAAGGAAACTTTTTATCTTGTGAAGTAGGATACAAAAGGTGGAAGAGTTACGATTTGCCGCTCCGTTGCGGGGTGAATAGCTAATACTACTTCTAAAGCGCATTATGGATAGGCCTTACAAAGTCATTTGGACCGCTTCGGAAGTTCAATTTTTTGGTCGAAAACAAGCAGAATCTTGGTTTTTGCGAAGGATTGCATACTGTAGGAACCATTTGGGTACCACAGCGAAGGGGTTTCTTTATTAAGGAGGCAGAAAGACAGAGGATGTTTGCAGGAAAAAGTTGAGTTGAAGCAGAGAAAAATGTAGGAAGGCCGTGTGGAAATGTGTGCCATCATCAGGGTGATCTATGTGGATCGTACATCTTTGCTTATATAGAGGTATATATACCAAGGCCAACTGCATAATTGAGCACAGTAACAAAGGATTTCTATTGCTAAAGGGGTCATGGGCATTACGGGCTATTCGGGCAATTTTGCCAAGATCTTCGTCAGCTCAACAAAAGGCTGACTGACCTTCACGCAATGAGTTCGTAGACACTTGTCCACACGAATTAACATAAACGGTCTGGAGCAGTGGGCCCCGGTATAACTGTCTTTGTGGTTTGAGAATACAGCAGAGGCAATTATCAAAAAACACCCATGTTTTCTCAATATTTTATCAAATACTAGCCGGCAGCATAGCGGGACCCGTTCAGCCCTGGTAATATAGGAAGAATCGCAATTTCGTTTTGACTTTACGAGCGAATATCCCGTCCTCGGGGCGTTAACAACCACAACTTCAGAAAGAAGTTTTCTTGTAACGACGTAGCTTGCCATAGTAAGATGCAAACATTTAGAACCGACAAGGGCTCTAGATCTTTTCCTCTTTTTTCTATTTTCTGGAAATACTCTTTTACCTATGGCAATCGACAAATTTAAGCTTTTCAGTGTGAATATTTCAGGAACAGAATTGATGAAGTCAAAGCGATTTTCGATACGTCTCTTCGATGAACTAATCTTGTCACCAGTTCTGCACTTATCAAGGCAATAACTGAGATTCATTGAGGAAATATGCATTTGATAATTTATAGAAATCTTTCGCAGCATGCTCATTACTTCTGCGTATCCGTGCTGTGAAATTTGCAGAAAATCAACGAACCGGTAGAAGCATCCGAAATTGATGACGCATAAGTTTTTCAACCGAATTTTTACGAAGTAGTGCCCAAATCAACAAATTCGTTTATATGGCATTGTATGGAGAAAAGAAAATCATGCGCTTTTCAGTACTGCTTAGATAAATTCATCGTCTTCATACTGCGGCCATACAAGCTGCTGAAAAAATCTACTTGAGTTGTACTTTTCTGAAATCTAATCGTGAAAAATAATGAATAGTCTAACTTGAGTTGTATTTATTTTTGGTGTTGCTTTCTTTCTACCCTGCTCAAGCAATTTCATAATGAATGTCTTACACTGAGTAGTCATGATTCTCGGTTCTATAGCTGATTTTGGAGTTTTGCTATTATAGAAGACAGCATTGATCTTGAATAATAAAAATAAATTGTGTAAAGGTTTTGAAAATTTTTTAGAAAAATTCTAAAAAATATATTAGGTTTTCTCATAATTTTTTACCGTTTTTACTGCAACCACCGTCTTTTCATAACTTTCCTTCATCTGGTGTGGCTCTAATAATCATTCGACAAGGCAAAGCAAGCTCTACAAGATGGCTATTAAAAGTCTGCCCAAATCATATCCCACGGGAAGTTTTGAGCTGAAATCTGATAGTAGTTCAAAACAAACTTTTCTGTCAAAAATCGTATCTCCGCTCCAAAGTATCTAAAAAATTCCCCATTTATTTTAGCAAATGCTTGACACATCGCACAGTTCCATGGCTAGAAATAAGGAAAGAAATGAATGAGGCAAAATGGCAAACTCCGCCCCTAAACGTCCTGAGCTCCTCCCACGCATGTGATCATATAGCTCATACATATAAAAGTACGACTATGTATTTGGATTTTTTGTAGGTGCCCCAGTTCTCGAGAAATGATGATGTTTAGGGTAAAAACGGTAAAAAAATTATGAGACAGCCTAATACTTCATCCTAACATTAGTACATCTCACTCGCCAAGGTCTCCTTCAGGCTCTCGAAGAAACAGCTAAATAAACCAATATAACAAAACTTTTTTCCAACTAGTGATAATGACTGTGAAATCTGACTATCTGCAGTTGTATAGAACAGCCAGGTACAGCGATGAGAAACAGTTCGCTAGTGAAGCATTATCGAATACTGTACAATTGTACTACAAAAATATGGAGGGAATCCGTCTACAAGTGTCAAATCGATAAACGTAAAAAGCCTGGTCTATTCAAGAGAAATGCATGGCTTGTATGGATGATTTCCACGCAGTTTAATTGTTGAATAGAATAGGACATTCAAGTATGATGGGTTTTGCTATTGGTTTTTCTGGCTACAAATGAGCTATCGATTACGAATGCGTTGATTTGCAGTTCTGTGCAGCTCGATAAGACGAAATTCAAGAAAAAGCCTTCTGCACTCAAATTCTGCGGTATACTCTAATGCGATCTATCGAAAACAACGTAAACAATGCGCGAACTGCGATGCGGTGCATTTCGACGCCTCCATACTGTTTACGAATGTGTGCTATAAGCATCTTCTAATAGTTCAGTACCTTTCAACCATCAGCCTCGCGAGCACCTGCGTTTAGTTTGACGCGTAATCGGCACTCGAGGCTTTCGCGGATGCGCAGCCGCATGCAGAAAGGACATCAAATTCTAGAGAGACTATACATGAGATGGCGACACCGATGGCGATGTGACATATGATATTAGGCCTAAGGCATACTTCACGCGATTCCAGTCGCTGCGCGATCTGACACTGCAGCGACTCTTCGTAACTGGTCGTTAGCGCGCTTTGCATGGGCCGGACTTAAAGTTTTTGCTATAGCACGGTAGCTACATGCCTATGCACTTAGGACCCGCACACGATTGACTTGTAAGCATCTGGCAAACTGCCAAGTCGCGCGGATGTGGCAATTTGACGAAATCGCGCGAGGTATGCCTTAGGGAACGGGCAGAGCTCATGCGATTTCGTCGCGTCGCGCCCCATCACTTTGGACAAGTGTTCCTCGCCACGCTGTTTACTGTGTGGGTCCCGACGCGTTTGTGATGGCTGCGCGGCGCGACGGATCGCGCCACATTTTTCGGCGTTCATAGCTCGCCACGCGATGTCGTCGCGATTTTGCCGAATCGGCGCGACATCGCGTCGCGCGTTTGCGGCGAGCGACGGCGCGACCGTCGCGCCGATCCTGAACTGGATTTTTGATATTATTGTTGTATGTTGCTGTTGTTTTGCGGGTTATGAGTGTTTTCGCATGAACTGTTGCAAATGCTAGATTATGCCTATCTTTGCAATGTTTGATGAGTCAGTTAGTCTTCATTTTGCATTTTTTCCTATCTTCTAATCTCGATTTTTTCTATATCTCATGTGCCCTAGACTGCCAAAAAGAAGCCTCACTCTGTTCGATTGTGCATCGAATTCTTGAAGAATGTGCTCGCAGTCTACTGACGATGTTATGCAACAAAACGCCAAAAGATATGATTAGTTTTGCATGAGAGTAGCAGTCTTTTCGTCTATTGTGTGCATCATATCGTTGACGTATCTAGAACTGGAAACCCTTTTGCCATTGGTTACTTCGGAATGTCCGCAGCCACTGGACCTTGCTGGTACTTCTTCCCTATTCGTAACTGATGCTTTCCAACAGTCATTTGATTATGAGCCATTCACCAGAACCACGATTTCGTTGACTTCTCCTTCTATTATTGATTTGGGTGCATATCATTGTGATTGTTATCAAGTCGGATACTAATGTGATGAACTTTCAAACTTCCTTTGTCTGCTGCTACACCTTTTTTAAATGACAGTGATGTATGATTTTCAGTAATGAATTAGAGTACGTGCAATGTGTGAGTGTTGTGCAATTGCATGAAATCGCGTCGGAGGTATGCACGCCTCCGGCGACTGAGCGACTCAGTCGTCGCGACTGGAGATCGCGCGACTTCGTCGCGTGAGCTCTGCCCAGGGCCTTAGGGAACGGGCATAGTGTTTACGATTTCGTCGCCGCGATTTCATCGCCGGGGATTTGGATGGTTTGGGCGACGAAATCGCGACGACAAAATCGCTTTCCGAAAGGACATGGGCATAGTGCACGCGATCCCAAGTCTTTGCACAAAAGCTGACTGGAATTTCTTCTCATGGAATAATCCGCTTACTCACTCTCAGCATCCACCATTGCTCATGCCAATCGTGATGATACTCGAGTACAAAAATTTTCATTTGTCTGTCTTTCATCAAGTCCATTCCTCACAAGCTTACCACTTTTTGGCAAATTCTCGCTTACGAATGTTGACCTTTGAAAGCTAACAGCTATAACTAGGGCACTATTCGCTAAGTTTTTTGGAAGAAGCAGTCAGAATGAACATATTGGAAAGTTGACGTGGGCATTTGTAGCGCCTAGCAGAAACTTACTAGTAGTTTTTTTAGAAAATAATTCGAGCAAAGCACTAGAAGACGGAAAGGCGGAAACACACAAACATAACCGTTTTGTGCTGATGCACCAGTATCAATAACAAATTCTCCTGCAATTAGCGAATTGCAAAACGTGCGATTATCCATGCGAAATGAAATGACAAATTATAAGTTTGGTTTGCAAAAAGCAATTACTTACAAAAAAAGCACCAAGAAACAAATTAGTTTAGGTCTGTATATATACTATAGCAAACGGCACACCCAACAATTACACAACCTCTTACACAATGATTTCCTTTTTCTTCAAACAAAAACGAGTTAAACATCAATGCATATCTATGAAAGTCTCTCAAAATCTCACTCCAGCCTCAGCGATATCGCGCGTCGCCCGTGCAGCACGAGCGACGCGACATCGCTGGGTTTTACCGAAATCGCGGCGATTGTCGCTGCAGAACTATGCCCTAGCTAAAAAGGGTCCGCGATCCGTCGCGCCGGAAGAGTACCACAACCGCCGTAGCAGACGCATAGACATGCAACGAATGCGTAACAGTTGTCGTAATTCAGAAATCGCAGCGCGACGGTATCGTGGACACTATGCCCTAGGCCTTAGGCCTTAAGGGCCGGGCATACTTCACGCGATTTCTGTCGCGAAGCGATTTGGCAATTCGCCCGAAGTCTTCAGATCCAACACTAGCAAACTGCACATGCAAAGTGTGTATAACTTAAGTGGATTGCTAAAATGCTCTATCTTCTATACATTTAAAATGTGCTTACAGTGAGTTATGGACAGTTGGAATATTGCCAATATCGCGTCGCGACTGAAATCGCTTGAAGTATGCCCGGCCCTTTAGACGACGACTCAGTCCGCCCTCCACTATAGCTAGTTATCATATTTCACCTACCAGTTTTGGATGGAAGCTTATTTGCAAAGTGCTTATCCTATCGGTTTAAGAACTTGCAATTTAAAAGCATTGTGGAGCTTTCTATTTGCAGATATCTTATCTTTAACTCAGTAATGTCTTTTTTTTACCCCTTTATCGTTTGGAAAGATAGGAGATGATGGAAATTCAAATTGTAGCGTAGGGATCCTTCATTTTCCTACACTACAACAATGAGGTTTGTTCCTTGCACCTTCCTTGAAGAAAAAAGTTTCTTAATAGAGCATTTACGCTTTAAGAAGCTGCAGTAAGTTACCGGATTTAAAAAGGAGTTTATGTATTTTCTCAGAGTTGCTTACCAACAGTAGTGCAATCCCTCTCCCGCCGCCTTCCTGTCGTCTAAGGCCCTGGCCAGGCTTCGCTCAAAAGCGCCCAAAAGCGCCCAGATTTTTCTGGTGTCTCTACACTTTCTCGTGTGAGGAGAGATGAGAGAGAGTGAGAATGGGTCAGAGAAGTTTGGGCGCGTTTGGGCGCTTTTAAGCGAAGTCTGGCCAGCGCCTGACTTTCTCCCACTTGGTTATATGGGTGATACAATCTAGAAAAGACTTGGTAGTTTTTGCTCTATTCCCGATATGCACCAATTTTGGTGAGAATGTGATTATACAGCGCTCAATATGTCAAGGCAATTGAGATCCACTGTGCATTACTTTTCGTGTGCCTTCCCGCAATAATGCACAACGTTTGTGTTGATCGAATGCTTGCCACGTCAGGAACGATGCGGATTTGTTCAATCATTCCTTGTTCAATTCTTTATTGATTTGATGTTACATTTTAAACTGGACCTGGTTGGAAGATTCGAAGATTTCCCGACGTATCATGCTCAAGTCTTCTTACTATAGCTGTTCAAAGCCATAAATCTCTACCTCCAATCACCTTATCTCTTTTTTCTTCCATTGTTGAACGAGGTTTTGACGATGAGTACAATTTTAGGTTTGAAGCACTGCTCACGTCCCTGCTACCAGGCTTTGTTTGATCGGACATTTTGTCTTACGAACGATGTCTGATGCGCAGAGTCGAGCTGACAAGCTGGCGATAGCGAAGAAGAAGGTTGTTGTTTTTCTCAATTTGCTACAGTCAGCAAGATTATATGACGCTTCCATCGATAGGCTTACATCAGTATCAGACATCCTTTCGATAACATTCATCTGCCGATAGTAGACTCAAAATGAAGCAATTGCGGTAAATATGTACACTGTATGAAGTCAAGGTATCCTCACGCTTTTGTTTTGAATGCAGAATGAGGTTAATTTCCAATCCTGGTATCCTCTTTTTTTATACAGCGAGTTTACCGAATTCATACATATTGCGCATACAAGTTTCAATCAAAAATTTGCCACGGTTTTTCTTCAGAGTCTTTCCTTACTAGCGCTTTAGCAAAGTAGGTATGCGCGTTATCACGAATTTTTTTGATTCTGGTTTTTTGCCGAATATTTATCAGCAGAACTGTGCGTGCACATGATATCAATATCGATAGCAGAATTTGCACGGCCTGGCACTTGTCCATGGTAAATTAGTTTTTCTCAAACTTTGAGACCACGCTTTTTGAGGATGACTTCTTACAAAAAAATTGTCCTTTTGTTTCAGCATCCATCATGTCCTTTTTGAAAAAACCTTCGATTTTTAGCTAAAAGAATTCGAAGCTCGGCGACATCGCGATTCCGCGACATCCTCTCCAGTTCCAAGTGTAGCATCGACCGCTGAGCATAACGCCAACAATGGACGATTGTCTGTCAATAGCAATCGTTCGCCAAGTGGTGAGTAAGACAGTTATCGCTGACTAAAATGTACAACTAAAATAAAATGGAATGGAGATGGTGCGTTTTCCCCGTTGCCGAGAGGCAGATGCCAAGTACATTTGTTAATCAAAAGGGCATTCGAGTTGTTTGGCTATGAAAGTTTTAGAAAGCTGGGCAAAATGTCAAAGAATGATCTTTTTCAGAAAATTTCTTGGTTTCCACACTCTCGCTATCCAAAGATTATAAAGTTTTATCATTATCTTAAAACTTGTTTGGCTTCCCGATACTCATAAATTAGCAGCAGACCACAACCTTGCTCCCAGCTGTGTGTAATTATATAATTATGTAATTACAATTAATTATGTAATTATATATCTGGCGTAAACAGAAAAAAAATGCTTCAAAAATTTGACGCGCATTCAGCAAGTGATCTTTTCCCTTTTTTGTCGATTTCAGACTTGTCCTTGTTTTCTTTTTATCATCGATATCAACGATTGTGCATATATGTAGTCAAGCTTGGGTCTTCAAAATTTCAAAGAGATCACTTCTTTTTTCCATCATTTGCCTTACTCTGTTTCGTTCAGCTAACAACCACGAACATAATATGTACACAGCGAATCCCATAGAAAATGGCACAGGTGATCACATCTACCAACAGGTAATTAGAAAATGTTCAAAAGCTTTGTTCATTTTTCTATTGGAACTTTTTTGTGTTTTGAGTGTCTAATAACTACTTTAGCAACCCTATGTGATAAATATGGCGGACGACTCCAACTCATCATCACATTCTCTGTCAGCCATGAATACTGCATCACACAAAAATCTTATGCCAGACATGAGTAACAACAGTTCACCATCGCCGCAGCATGTACCAAATGGGACGATAAACAATTCCTTGCCCTCATACAATACTTATAGCCAGGCAAGCGCTGTAAGTTCTATCAGTATTATCCTGAACTAAATTTTCTCATCTGAGTTTGGAACTTCCGCAAAAGGAGCATAGTTTGTCAAATTTTATGAGTTAGCGTGTGGGATGCCTATTTGTTCACTACTTGAATTTCGGACTCGCATGTATGCGTCATATTTTTGCTCCTTGATGCCAAAATTCTTTTCTTCTTGTATTTAGAATCATTTGCAGCACTCAACTCCTTTTGAACTAGAGCGGGCGCAGCTCCAGCACGAACGAGATGCAGCAGTATCAGCCTATGAGCAGGTCTCGGGACAACTTGAGCAACTGGTGGGTGAACTTGACATGCATGATATGAAACAGAGTCACTTCTTCCTTTCAACTTGTTTTTGTTACTCATATTTCCCAGAGTGAAGTGTCAGCGTTTTTATGGGAAATGATTCACAATGCAGACTCTTAATAGGGTTAAGCTATTGATTGTTTGGCTTTCTCATGCTAGTTTGGTGGATTGCATTTGCCTTTGAAAACTAGGATTTGATGCCTATGCATATGTTTTTAGCGTATTCACTATACACAACTGCATGCTGCATATTCAAGTATGACTAGCAATGGTGTTCACTCAGAAGTCGATAAACAAATACAACAACTGCAGTCGGTAAACCGGTCTTGTCTGTTCCTCTTCCATCGTGTGATATTGGTTGCTCTGTAGGCTCTTGCGGTACTTGTGGAAGAAAAGACAGCGGTACAATCGGAAATGCGCAAAGTGAAGAGTGATTTGGAACAGGAACGGATTCTGAATGAGAGCGTAAGTTTTTTTGTTATCCTGGTTCATTGTCAATTTCCTCACTTCTATGCTTCATCCATGCATTTCTCGCACAATGCCATTGTTCTGTTTTCAGCTTTCATCGAATCTCAAATCCTTGCAAAACAACGAGTCTAAGAAACTCCAACAACGCTTGCAAGAATGCGAAAGGCTTCTTACCGCTCGAAGCACGGAGTTGGATGGCTTGAGAAGGAGCGAAGCAAATGCACAAGCTCAATTGCTTACTGTACAGCATGAAAGGAGCGAGGCTCAGGTAGGGTGAACTTCATTGCGGGGGTGAAGAGAAATAAAACAGCGCTTTTTAGGCCCGCTTGAAGGTGACAGCTCGCGAGAAAGATCAGCTTGAAGCAGAGCTCAAAGCAGTTAGGAAAGATTTACATATGAAAGAGATCTATCTGAAGCAACTGGGTCCACATGGGATAGTGAATAGTGCAAATGATGAGAGTGCAATTAAAGCACTGCACGGTGAGTGCTTGGTGTATCATTCATATTTGTTTTCTTTTGCTTATACTCTGTATAGCTCGATACTGTGCGCTTGGAAAATGCATTTGATTCTCCCGCTTTAGAGCGAGTTGATACTCTTCAAAATCAAGTCAGTTTGCTAACGAATGAAAGAGATCAGCTTCATCAAAACACAGCGGAACTGAGCAGGCACTATGAGACCTGCAGGCTTGAATTTGTAAACACGAGAAGTAGAATCGAAAATGAGGTATACTTCCGTCTGAAAAAGACATTCTTATTGTGATAAATCTTGTTTCAGCTGTCCGAAGCATCATCAGCTCGCGATGCTGCACTTTTACGTGTGAGAGAGCTGGAGAATGACATCAGTGTGCTGCAGAAGGTAATTCTAGTGTTTTCATTTTCTCTCTGACTTTATATCTTTGATTTGCTTTTTCTCTCCTCTACTTGGACACATTCTCATGACTTAATGATTGCCTCCACTCTCCTCTCCATATCCTTTTCGTTGTTGCGTCTATTATTAAAGACTATCTGTCTGAACCTCTCTTTTCATAGTCTGTTCACCGAATTTTCTTTCTGTACTTTACTTGAAGACTTCTGCATTGTTTCTTTATCTATCTCTTTTTTTATCATCACCATTGCACTCAGGAGCTCACACTGCAACGAGCGAATGTAAACGACGCTGTGGAAGGCAGAGAAAATCTTACTGTAAATTACTCTGAAGATGAGATAAATCGTAAAGTTGAAGAATGCAAACGCATTTTGGATGCTCAATGGCAAAAGAAATTTGATGAAGAAGGCAAGATTGTGGACTCCATGATGAGAGAAAAGGTAGGTCTTGCTCCCTTAGCTCGGGAATCACGTCCATCAAACGCTTCAGGATCAAACACTCTTTGAACGTGAGCAGACGATCAGCGAGCTTCAGATGCGTTTACGATTAGTGGAAGAAAGATCGGCAGAAACTAGAGCGAGTGGATCGGTTGGTTTCCAATATTCGTTATAGGAACTTCGCAGTACAAGTGAAATCTTAGGATCTCCTGTCTCTGTCCGAGCAGCTTCAGAATGAAAAGGCCACTGTGTCACGTGCTGTAGCTCAGAACAGAGAGCTAAAAGAGCAATTAATTGAAACTGAAGACAGGTTTGTGTGATCTATATTGTTTATATCGATTTTTATCCCAATTTATATGGCCATCTTCGTATTTTCTGTCTAACAGCAATTGCTATAGGCTAGTTGCGTTGACCGAAGAAAAGTTGCAGTCCGAGTTAGCTCGCCAAACTGCTGAACATCAAGTAAAGGAGTTAAGGAAGAAGCTTGAGGAAGTGAGCAAGATCCTTGTTTTACTTGGCTGTCACTGTTTGGCTAAACTTTCTGATAAAAGTCATTACGAATTATTTAGAGCGAACAATCTGTCACCGGGATTTCTGAGTCTACAAGTACAGCGCACACAACTCTTGAAGCTGTCATGCATCCATCGATGTCGCTTGAGCCATCACGCTCCAGCGATGATTATGAGGAATCAGAGCGTGACCATAGTGAGAGTGTAGCAGGTGAGTTCACATGCATATGAAATGTTTTGCTCTATGTACTTTGCACACAGAAACCTCTCGAGAGCGCGAACGCATGTTGGAGACGCAGCTTCGAATGGCTAATCAGCAGCTTGAAGAAGTGAGACTTGCTACTTACTCAGTGCGACTGATCTGTTTTGCTTTCTCGTTGTTTGTTCATAGCCAAGTTCTTTTCATTGTTATTACAGATTCGTGCTGATCTTCGACGAAGTCATACACGAAACGAAGAAATGAATCAAATCCTCAGACAGAATGCCGAGGACGAAAACCAAAACTCCATTCATGTCGAACTGGGCCAGGCTGTAGCTCGAATACATGAGCTCGCTGCAGAAAACCAGCAATTACGTGAGGTAGAGCAGTTTTTGAGCTTAGCCTTTTACCAGATCATCAAGCATTTAGAGTATCGAACGAATAATCGAAGAACGATCACAGCTAGAGTATTCACTTTTGGAGAAATCACGAGCTCTAGATGCACAGGCGACGAAGTCGGATGCAGTAGTGGAAACTGCCTCATCTTCAACGCCTCCCGAAAATCCTGCAGCAAACCAGCAGGAGAATGGGTAAGCTACCTTCTTTGACCAGTGCCAGCATTTCAATAGCTCTTTTTCTACTCTCTCTTTCCAGTCCAGAAAAAGTTGGTAGCCCAGCGTGGGCAAAAGCTGAATTGGAAAAGCGCTTTTCGCAGGCCATGCAAAATAATGCAGAACTTCGCGAATCGATGGAGAAATTGGAGCACATCAATGTGCAGTTGCAGGTTTGCTTGCGTTATAAGGTTTCACCAATCTATCGTCAACGTTCCAGCTAGAAAATGACACTATCGCTGACCATGTAATCCTGTATCAGCATCAGCGCCGTTTAATTAGAGAACGTTTGAGAGCCAAGGATGAGCAGCTGGCCGCTATGGAAGCTGATCGGAAGAAGACAATGGAGAGGTACTCCTTGCAGCATCCCTCTCGAATTTTAGAGTCACTGCCAATATCGCTGACTCCATGTTTTAGATGTCAAGAGCTACAGAAAGCACTCATGGACGTTCTTAGTCGAACTGGTGCATTAAAGGTTGTAGGTTACATTTTGCATATCTGAATATTGCATAAAGGTTGCATATTAGGGTGTTACATAAGCTCTTTTTACACTTGACGGGAAACTTCATAACTTTTTCGGAAAAATTCTTTCTCATCCCCAAATTGCATGGGAAATTGCGAATTTTCAATGTACTCATATGAACATGAAAAATCCACGTTTGAGCTTCTTAGAAATTTTTCAAATCATTTCGGGCAATTTCCAAATTGCGTTTTTGTGGAGCTTAAACTTCCGGACCTCCTTCGTATTACTACCGATGCTTCCGGAAGTCCACAAAGAATACAGTATCAACTTTCTTCACATTTGAGTAGAAATTGATAATTCAAAACACTTGACCATGCCCCTCTATTTGCCACACAACTATGGGCCTTTGCTTAATTTTGAGATTCTGCGGATTGCGGCGAAAGCGCATTTTCAAGATATGCGACGACTTAAAGGCACATAAAGTCTTTACGGACTGCTAAGCTGTTATTTTTGTGATTGAAAGCGTTATTGAACAGCTTTGCGTGAGTGTCTGTCGCAGACAGTTTTCACATTTTGGCGAAACCTGATACCTGCATTCGATTGAACCATTTGGTTAGTCTCCACAATAAACACATAGTAAGCGACATACAAAAAGGTTATAGTTTTCAAGTATACGAATACTTAGAAAAAGATGTTGCTGAGGTAGTTAGTGAAATGATAAGTTAACTTTGAAGTTGCCAAGTTCATAAGCTTCAGCTTCATTCAGGAGTACGAGATTGGAGGTCGATCACGTCCCTCCAGGAAACCGAGAAAAAGAGAAGCTCGCTCGTACAGCCACAGCACTGTGGACGAGTTCAGCGGAGACGAGGATGTGATTGTTAATGGGTCCACGATGGAGGTGGCTTTCTCGCTGTAAAATGATGAGGTTTTACGACTGACATGATTATCTTCAGATCCCTCCCCGAACACCCGAAGAGCACACCATTGATGAAAGTGCCCTCAGCGAGGAAGGCAGATGTGATTCTGTAAGTTCCGAGGATCTACACAAACACTTAGATTCGAAACCAGAACGGTCGGCTTTGCCGTTAGATATACCGGAAACAGACGCAGCTGTGAGAAGGATCTTGCAAATCATCACAGATATCAGCGTGAGTTTGATTTTCTTGCTTACGGGAAACCGCTTTCGTAAATTGAGAGATCCTTCAAAACCTTTTTAGCCAATTTTAATCTCTTGTGCCCAGTCTCGTGCAGTAATGGGCCAAAATTGATAGCAGCTGCGTGTTAATGCTGCCCATGTGCATGTTTTTTGTCAATATATGCATGAATGTTGTGCACATTCACTTGAATGACGCGATTTCCGCCTTTCCGTGCTTGAAAATTTCTTGAATTTCAAAACGGTGGAGTCCAAAAACCACTCAGTAAGTTTTCAAGCACACTTTTTGCGCAGTCATGTGTGGCTTTCTTTGTCTCACTGCCTTTTAACTTCGTTTTGGTTTCTAAGCACATTGCGTCACAATCTCTTTTCTTCCATAGCTGATGACTTTCATAATTAATCGCATTTTTCAAGCGCATTATTTCTTCCGGCCGTCAATACGATTTGTTTTTAATGCGCATAAAATTTTATGACCGGATATCCTAGGATACGAGCATGCGGAAATTTCTTTTTGTAAGCAGAAAAACATTTCTGCATGTTGGAAAACGTGGTAATGCAGAAAAAAACTTGCTTACACTTCAGTTTTTGCGCGAATTAGTAACCAAGCGCATTTTTCATTCTGAGTGACATTCATAGCAAGATGCAATTACATTTCCCCAATGAGCAAAGTATCTCTTCTTGCAGTGTGAGGTTCAAATGCAGTCTTATCTTGCTTTAGCATGATTATCATAGATAAGTGGAAAATGCAGGCATTGTGGTTATAACCACTTTCTTTCAACTAATGATTCAGATTAGATAGTCATGCATTCGTTGTGCCAATTCTGTTGGAGATTTCTGTTAGTATGAGGAATAGCTTGAAAGCGTTCCAAGCTGAAGGAAACCTCTATTCAAGCTTGGTGAATTGAAAAGATTTGTCATATCATCAGCTTTTATATTTTTGAGAGAGAGAGAGAGAGACGGGTTTAAAAACTACCGTTAACACGATAAGTCATTTCGCGAGTCGCGAAATAAATAACGTGTATGAAAAAAGTTTCATGGTTCAAATGAACAAAATGTGCAGTTTGTGTTGTCGTTTGGACTTTGTAGTTTGCATGATTGATCATATGTGCCTGGCCATTCTCCGCTTATCACTTCGTAATACTTATGACCTGTCAATTGACAAAGCAGCTTTATTCTGATAAGTGTTCATGTGACGGACGTTGAAGATCAGATTACACATGTGGTAAGGTGAAAGAGTTTTGACTCGAGCTCGCTAGCTCTTTTTCTTAGTCTAGCTCAGAGAACGATAGAAGGACCATGAAATTTTTATCTATCTTGATCATTATCGCCCAAACACTACTCTTATCGGCGGACTGTTGTTGTGTTCAGAAATGTTTGTTTAGAAACCACCGCATCCGAGCGCTATCGACAAACTACACTGCACTCAATGTATCGGTGATATACAAACATTATAATGTAAACAAATTGTCTGTTGTAAATATGTCATTCGATATGAGAGCTGATTTTCACTGATGATTTGTGTATCTACCGCTGTGATAACGAAGATGTTGATTCTATGCAGGTAATCTGGAAATGGAGGGAAATCGCTTGGCATGTGTAAAATTTCTCAGAACTGCACTAATATTAAAATGGGTTTGCTGGAGTCTTCTTTCCTTCTTTGTGCTAGTACTATCAAGTTTCTGCTTCCTGACTCAATTTTTTCCCAGTTACTACACTTTACTTGTGATGTTGACTGTGCTTTTTAGCTCTGTCAGTTTGAGTCACCATATTTATTTGTAGCTATATCAGTGATTGTAGACTTTAATTTTCCTCCTTTAGTGAATTTAGGCTTTCTTACAATCACTTCTATTGCTTGCATCACTGCGCTGCCTTGTCTGAGTTGAGAAGCGTGCACAGCTTAACTCAGCTCTTCTTTTCCTTTTTGGGGAAATAATTAGATGGGTTATAGTCATTATAATACGATGGTGGTATATTGTACCAAAATTAGTTGGTTTCAAGAGTATCTGATTGTTGAGTTTTTTGCCAGTCCAAATAAATATGATTTTACTGTTGTTTTTTTTGCTTCTTCCTAGGTCATTGTTATCCACTCCAGATATTTTAAAAGTTAGTTTTGCTAATTCTTTCAGATCTGAGCAAATAATAAGAGATTTCTAGCTGTTTGTCGCTTTTCTTCACTAAATCACTTCACGCCTCGTGTTTTATCGCTCTCAAGGGGGCATTGGCGGACGACGAAAGCCGCAAACGACAACGTCGAACGAAAATCGCTGACGTTATGGCAATTCGACGCGCTATCTGATATCTGTCCTCTGTCTGAAACGAACCGGAACGCAACACATCCGGTGAGTATTATGAAATCTGCTTTTGCTGATTTGTTTATGGCTTTTTCCTGCGGATTAGATTACTTACGTCAAATCTGCTATATTTTTCTGTCTTGTTGTTTGGACATCTGCCTACCCACATATACCTTCGCTCTTGGATTGGTTTATGTGATTTCTGGTCCTGCTGCACCTAGTACTCTTCTCCATCTTTCCTCTCCTATCTGCATACCGAAGTAGGTGTGCAAAACAAAAAACCTAATGCCTATCAAACGCGGGAAGTTAATGGTTGAGATAATGCGATTAACAGCGCCGATAATGACCAGTTGACTTATATTGACTGCTATAGCGTGTAGCGCTCAAGTTATATGCGTCTTCAATGTTTAATAAGTGTCTGGAGTACGATCATGGTCCTGATGTCTCTGTGACAGTTTCGTGAGTCAGTTTCATGTAAGAAAAAAAGCTGTGATGGTTTTCTCCTTAAGTGAGACGGTTGATCTTTTTTGGGCATCTCCAAATGGTTGCAACTCTATGTTTTGTAAGACTTAATCATCGTTTTGATGTTATAACTATCTTTTGTAAACTAGTTATCAGTCTTGCGGTACCTCCATCTCTTATAAACCCATTCGTGACATTACATTTTAGCGCTGTGTCTATCTCACTGACTTCAATTTCGTTGTCAACCTCTTTCTGCTTGGTGTGGCGGAGTGTGCATTTTGTGCTTGAACGTTATGAGCTATACTGCATTCTCACTTATCGAAAAAACTCAGATTGCCAGACGCGCTTGTGCAGGATTTGATTGCAACCCTTTGTCTTTCTTTGAATGAGAATTGAACGAGATCCTTTTTTTGTCAGTATTGAAGGTCAAAAATTTGAAATGTAGCTGGAATTTAAAAGCCGTTCGAGATTGTCATGTGCTTGCTTGTTAGTATCGGCTCCTAGATTTGTGTGGAGGCGGGTTGCGGACTTATTCTGATTTTAAGGATAAATTCGTTAAACCATTCTTTTGCGTACTCTCCAAATTTATCCTTATAATAAGGGAGTTCGTAAGCCGCCTCCACAAGATTCTGGGAGCCGATCATACCTTCAACTTTTTATTGAACTTGGAGAGTTCCTTTGATTTTTCTAGAACATACATTCTTTTGGCTCCTCGAATTTTTGTACTAACAATGAGAACCAAAAAAGAACGTCGAAATTTGATCTCACTGCACCTGTTTCCCGCGTGTTTTGCCTTTAGGGTTTGTAAAAAAATGGGACCACTGTTTGTTCGTCATTATCTCTCTTGCGCTAATGTCTTTATCCGCTCTCAAGGTACTGCGCTAGAACTGGCTTTAGTTCAAAATTACGATACGGAGAGAATTGCTGCAGAATTTTCAGCGTACACCGCCATTGATAAATAGGCCGTGTAAAAGAAATTTCTGTAAAAAAAAACTGGAAGATCGGTTAGGAAGATTTCACACATGCTGATCTCACTACGCAACCTTCTACGAGTTTTAAGCTTTTTATGTTGAAACCATATTCTCAAGCAACGTCGAAAACACGATTCTTACAGTTTACCTGGCCTTTCGTAAATGAAGATTTACCGCAATATGCAAATTCCATTTCGTGTAAAAGTGTTAGGTTTGTTTGGCCTCCCTTTCTGATGCAGAATGTGGCCGTAATTGGCTTAAAACCCTTTCAAAATTTCTATCGAAAGCAGTCACAAGGAGCTGTAGATGATTCGTTCCACACTCTAAGATCGAACCACTTCTGCAGAATGGTAGCTGAAGAGCGGACGAGTATACGTCTAAGGACAACTTACACCAGGGGGTTCGTTCTCTTCACAAAGCTATCAACTCATTGCACAGTGACAGTTTCTAAGTGAAAAAGAACTTGTCATTGACAATCAGTTGAAAACGCATGTTTTTTAGCCACGAAATAGTAGCTATTTTGTGCAGTATTATTTTTAGCACTATCACTAATTCCAGTCTGGCACTTCCTCCAATGATGGACCAACTGTACCAAAAATAGCATTTGACCTTGTGCGGTTGGCGATTTGATATCTTTGTCCTCAATTAAGATCCCATGATTTATGACCACTGGTCAACATTGCCATGAGCAGGAAATCTGGGGCGTGAGTGTTTTTCTGGCGCTTCAAAAGATGCCCTGTGCATCGACGTCCGATGATTGTTTGCCATATTATACGCGCTAAGGGCAAGTTTTTTTTCTCGTTCGCTCAAACATTCTTTTTATTCATTCAGTTGCAGAGCAAACGTATGCTCAAAAACTATAAATGTTTCGGTACTTTCTGCATGAGCAGTTCTCATGCTCTGCGCAACAAAGAGATTGAAATAGTGATGCTAGCCTCAGTAGTCCTGCAAAGCTTTCCATAAATGGATTTTTCACTCGTTTTCCTCCCTCTGGTGATGTATTGGTGGAATGCTTTACAAGGTGCACTTACGGAAATAATCGAAGCGTCGGGCTTCTTTATGACTTCGTGCCACATTTCTGAACATTCATTGCATTTCTTCTACATTCTTAAATGGCAATGCATATCTTGAGAGAAGCACAGCTTTTTTGAAGGGCGAATTGTCGGCAAGTAAGCGTACATACACCAGATGCAGATAAGACCCGCCCATATGGGCCCTTTCTTCACTCTGCTACACGATACTTTTGCAGTATGCATGAGGGTCTAACTCATCTTTCGCTCAACAACGTTACTTCTGCTCTGTTTCCTTTCTTTATTATTGGCATAATGTGATTTCTGTTGAATCGACGTTCCATAATGTTCGTGGCGATAACAAGAATATTGTTTTTAGGCAGGCCACCAAAGATGAGCGTAGCAGTGTCGAATCGACCATGGAATACGTTCGAGCGCCTGTTCCTCTATGGGCTGATTGGATTTGCAGCTGAGGTACGTTATATTTATGTAATGCCAAACTATTTGTCGCCTTACGAAGAGCATGGAATCATAATCATTATAAACGACCAGTGAGCTGAGCGCGGGAGAGAATTCGGAGGGAATTTTTGGTATCTGTTTAAAAGTTCGGGAATGCTTTGTGTGTTATACTCACTTTTAATTGCATATGAGAATAGTATCTCCAAAAAACATATTGTTTATCGCATGGTATGGGTGATGGGAACACAATCTGCTCTGGAATTGAAAGCACATGTCAGCCATATGATAGGCAACTCACTGCGAGTGATTGTCACCTCAACCCTTTTCTAATGGGAAGTGGTTGAAATCTGAGTGCTGCTCCTCTTTTTCTCACTCATTGTCGATGTTAAAGACACCGTCCGCCCAGATTTTCAACTTCCTTGTTTTGGTCGTTCCTGGGCCTTCTCCTGTCCCTGATTCCGAATATGGAGTTGAGAACCCACGAAAACCCCGACAACCCGGTCCGGAGAACGAACGGTGATTGGATGGGCGCGCATGGATGGGCGGGCATTACTGGATGGGGCGGTGCCGATTTGGGATTCTCATGCCTCTTCGTTATTCCGTCTCGCTTAAAAGCGCTTGAGTATTGGCTTGGTGGGAGTCTTACTACCGTAAGCTGCCAAAAGCTCAAAACCCCTAACTTAGGGTGGATGGTGCCTTTAATGCAGTGTGAGACCCCTAAATCCGGATCCCTAACATCTTTTAAAGAAGCCTCAAACCTTTTTCATGCTTTGTATTCCTATTTCGTAAGCTGTATAGGGATTCAGATAGGTTGATGGACAGCTGTGTACTCTGATATATAGGAGGAAAATGACCCAAAAGAAATTGAGTCTTGGTTTTTGCAATAGTCGTTGGTGTATTGGACAAATGTGAAGATTGTCTGTCATCTTATTTGTTCTCAAGCTTCAAGGTGCTCTACTTTTTGTAGTAGGCAGTGGCATTTGATTTGATATATGTACCTGTTTTGGAAAGACCTAATAGCTGCCTAATAGCTTTGTACGAAATTTTTTGCGCGAAATGCGTCCACCCAAACTGATTTCCGACATCCAAGTGGAGACGGAGTTTACGATGTCGAATTTTTGTTTCCCCTGCCTTGAGGTTCCTAAGGTGTCCTTGATCCATATGCTTATTACAGGTGTGCTTTACGGCTACTTGGGAAGCAGTAGAACACGGCAATCGTAAGTTAATCGGAGTGACGTCGATGTATATATTTTTTGTGTATGGGATGTCAATTCTTGTTTTGGAGAAACTGTACCTGAATCTCAAGGTTTGTATTGGCTTCGTTCCTGTGAGCTCATATAATATTCAAATAAATTCTTAAGGATACCATTCCACTCCCATTACGTGCTGCTCTGTATGTCTTTGTCTGTTACTGTTGGGAGTTTGGCTCTGGATTCTTCCTGAAACGATGGGATGCATGCCCTTGGGATTACGAGAGGTAAGAAGTTATCCCCACTCTGAGTATCTTATTTAGGGTACGCACCTTTTACAGCTACTTCCATTACCATTTCATGGGTCTCATAACATTCGAGTACATTCCTGTCTGGTATCTCTCATCAATTTTCTGCGAAAAGTTTGTGATTCGTTATGCATTGCAATCGGCGTGGATGATTACAGCAGAAGAAAAGCGACAAGCGTGACGAATTTGTCATGCATAACATTTTTTTTGCAAAGTTTCGGTTGTTATTTTTCTCCCATTTTGTTCGTTTGTAATTAGGGTAACGATTAGGGTTTCGGGTATTGGTAGCTTGTACCTACTGATGATCTACTGACAATGTGTCCATTCCCATTTTCTCATCGCTTTACCTAATCTAGTCATCCCTTCATTCTCAGTTTCAATCTCAAGGCTTTTTTCATCACAAAAATGTATCTTTTCATTTTTGACAGAATAACATAAGCATTTCATCAAATTTGGATAGAATTTAGCTAGAGAGACTGGAGGCTTTGAAGTTAAGCGATGCTAATTTCGTAATGAGTTGCAGAAAATCAGCGAAGCCGGATGAAGAGTATTATTGATCTGAAAAATTTGCCATAATAGCACATCTCGTTTGAATTAATGAGTTAGAGGTGATGCATGGATTCTTGTTCCACTTGATCCACTTCGCTACTGGTTGAATCACTGATCTGACCAATAGAGAAATGGATCAAGGGATCAAGTATGACGTGTGTCTTATTTGTCTTGCACGACTTTCACCAGCCGCTTTGCTTGATTCTCGTAAGAAAGTAAACTCTTAATTTCTTTTGGGGAACCATCCGTTTAATAAAGTTTTAGTATGGCATATTATCGCCTTCGCTGTAAGTTTTTCTTTTTTTGTTTAAAAAATTTGTTTGCATGGAAAGGCTCTGAAGCCGTTTCAAATTCAAATCCTCAACGCTGCTAGCATTTCGTTGTAGTGTGGATATGCAAGCCAAGCTTTCTTTTACATGTAGTTGTGAGTATTTTCCAGGCGTTAATCTGTGTTATGATTCCTAGAATTTATACCCTCTACATACTTACTGTTGGCCTAGCCGTCATTGTGTTATCATGGATCTGGCAAATTCATCACCTCGTGTGTATAGCTTCCCATTGTAAGCTTGAAGTGAATTAGCTGCTTCATGTTAGTCTCAGTCTTAGTCTGTTTGACTTCCTTGATTGTTTTGTGTATTTAAATAAACTTGGATTGAAACTTTCATGACTTCTCACATGGTGCTTTCCATTGTTTATTGTATAAATAGTGAATACAAGATAATCAAGATTATCAAGAGGAATTTTCTTCATCTCTTCTTAACAGAAGCAAGAGTTAAAAGTCGAAGAAGTACCTAAATTATCTATTAGATGTGAATATTCTAGTGTATGGGTGTCGTCAGCACTTGCGCGTTAGGCTTCATACATACCTGACGATAGAGGTATAGCGGGTATTGGCGAATTGCTGCTGTCTCCGCTGCTTCTAGCTGCTTGAAACTGCTGCGCATGGGTGCATTTTAGGTGCAGCAGCAAAGTATTATCAGCCCCTCCCAGCTGATCTAGATTAATGGAGAAATGAATTCATGAATCTCATCGCTGGAATCCATGAATCATGAAATATAGCACACTACTATCACTATAAAGTTTTGTTTGTAATAAGCACGCAGCGCACAAATGCTGCATTTACTAAAAAAATTGAGATAGTTTGACAGGTAATTTGAATGTCACACGTGACCCTTACGTGTGCTTGAGGCAACAATTAAACTAGGTCTATTCCCTGCCGTATTGCATAAGTGGGCAAGCGACATCCCACTATTTTCCTTGGTAATTATCTGCCTCTAGCTGTTCATCGTACTCTATTCATATTCTACTTTGATTCCAGAGGTGTTGTAGAGTTCTCGTTCAGATTGGTTTGTTCACCTATGCATTTTTCTTTTTAATAGTCCCCAAAATTGTCGTAGTTCACTTACCGCAACAAATGCTCTGGAAATCCTTTGAAAACACAAAAAAATGGTAAATAGGGGCAAATCCGAGCAAAATCAGCTGATAGCAGCATGGAGCAGCTGAGAAAAGCTCACAAAAAGTGAGCTTCATATCGCATAGCAGCGAGGAGCAGCAGGGAGCAGCTAGAAGCAGCGCAGCATCGCTAGCTATAGCGGGTCTGTTTCGCGTTGACTGCAGCAGCTAGGAGCAGCAGCGTCGCTTGGCTGCAATCGATGCGCATAAAAAGCGTTGCTGCTAGCGGCGACACATCGTCAGCTATAGCCACCCATCGTCAGGAATGTATGAAACCTTAAGTACAGTCGAGCAGATTTTCCGCTTCATATAGGCGCAGCTTGTAAGGGAATATAGATGAATATATGAGCTATTTATTCGCCATTGGATGCTATGACTGACTGTAAAACTGTGTAGTATGTTAAATGTCTTCTTTTTTGCTTTTATTGGATTTGTTATGGAAAATCTTTGTTCTTCAACCATCACATGAGCTTGTCAAGTCTTGTACCATTCGTTCATACCATTTTGAGAACTCGCGGTTCGAATGTTTTCCTCTTTACAAAGCCTAAGACTGGTCTCATAGCTTACATAAGTAGAATTCGTCGCGAAGTCATGCAATGCTTTCTTGTATCTCTGTCTCTAATATCTCAAACTGCTGAAACTAGCGATTATCGTTAATCGCAGTAGATGCAAAACACCAATACATCAGAACATCAGTATTCAATGTTCACGCGTATGGTGATGACACTAGCCAAGTTTTGAAGCTGGAAGTGTTCGTCAAATTTCTACATCAACAATATCTATATCTAGCTTCAAGTATATCTATGTTGCGATGAGGGTATGCGAACACTTCACTCGTTGTGATTTCAGATCAAAAGGAGTGTGGTATCTTTACATCAAAAGTAACTTGCTGAAGAGTTTTATTGTGTGTGAGATGTTCGATGTTGATTAAGCATTTTGGCAGCGTGTTAGCACATTTAGAATACTCCAGTAATCTACTTGTTCCAACTGTCTAACATTAGACAGCGTTGGAGATGTCAGCACGCTCATAGGAACTCAAATAGCGGTCTATGAGGATTCCCACTGCTTTATACATTCGTTAAATTCAACGATCTTAGTAAGAGGAGAACGCCAAAGATGTACGAATGTTGGCATGCATACTGCGGATGAAGTCAAAAGAATGCCTTACGATCAAGCGCAGCGCAAATCTTTATTGGCCACTCTATAAACGGATTATGGTGTTTTGGTGTCATGTCACCCAAACTTTGCCCGACATTTGATTAGGCGGCTGTTGGGAAACTGAAGAAGTAGTGAGAGCTTCATAGGCTGCTCCTCATTTCCTCCTATCAATCTTGTCACGATGAAATCTATGATATTGAAACCCCTCAGGTCATCGCAGACACACTAGTTAGGGAGAGGTGGTCAGTTTACACTTACGAAGTTCAGATAAAGATAGGACAGGATGTTCAAACCACTACTTTTCCAATTCAGAAAACGAACAAGCTGTTTAGTTACAATTGGGTCTTGGACTAGTTAATACCATGTGGTCATAGAGCTAAGCCAACTAGCGTACATTAGCGCAAAATAAATTCAATGCCTTCATCAGTTACTCCTTCATGAGTGAGAACGAACGCGAAAATCCTCAAGAGCCAGTTCGATGCCATGGAAAGCAACTAACAGTAAGAACAAGATGAAATGCGCGCCCTTGCGCCAATCTTGGCTACCGCACGCGAACCGCTCGCGCAGCCAGCCCGGTAGGAATAGATGGCGCCCTAGGTGCCCTCATTTTAAATTGTGTACACGCACTGTAAGACATGCTTCATTGTATATGATGAGAATAATAGAACTGGAATCGAGAGAAAAAATATTTAGGTTCTAAAAGGTTTAAAGCCATATACGACTGCAGCTGAATTTCAGCATTCCGAGTGATGTTTTACTCATATTTTCGGTAGACTGAGGCTTCTTCAAAAACTTTCAAGTGCTCGTGCTTGAGTAAGTTTGTGAAACATATCGCACTAACATAAATTAAGCAGAAGTTACGAGAATTACAATCACGGTATATAACAGAGAAGTTAGTTTATTTTACGCAAGTTCTAAAATATCATCAAAAAATACAGCGAATTACCATATCTTGCAAATTAGTGTCGGTATTTGGAACTCTTAACTGGAACTTAGTCAGTTCTTCGTTCACGCGACGAAGTTTGGTATTCTAGTACATCGATTGTAGGAAATACTAAGCTTGAAAGATTCTCCATGATAATTTGGGCCTTACTGATCATTAGATTGGAATGAAAAACTCATTCGAATATAATGGTAGATGATGGCAGACAACAAAAAGTATGTGTTCAGACATTCCATCTGTTGGATAAAGCGTTAAATGCTTGTTCGGAACCTTTGTTATACTTCTTTCGAAGTAGGTCCTTCTATTGCTGAGAAGGAATTGAGTTCTCAAACTCCTGATGCTAAATTACTTCAGTCAGATGACCAGTGATGCACGATTGTTTTGTATGACCAGATTTCCAATTCAAAAAAACTCTTTGCTATTTTTCTCTTCTCAAAGTAATGTTCATATGCTCTCTTTTGAAAAAATGGCATAGCAGAAGTTTCCAAGCCGCCTCACTTAAGAGATGATAAATATGTTCCTTTTTTCTCCATTGTTTTTCTCTTATTACCTTAATACCTGAATCCATGTTCTCGCTGCTTGCACGCCTCATAATGAGACCAGTAATGGGAGGAGCAATGGGCGGGTCCTGACCTCTGAAGCGCGGAGGTGCTAGAACCCTCCTGGGTGCGAATGCTTGTGCGAAGTTGGTGTGAGGAAACGTGCTAGGAACTCCTACACGCCCTCCAGTGTGCTTTCACTGAATGTGAAATGCGGTAAAATTTGCGCGTAAAGAAATAGCTACGCCCGTGAAGCAGGGCATTTGCGCGCGCAAAATGTTGGCATTACTGGCGTGGCTACTTGTTCACACGCAAATTTTACCGCATTTCACCTTTAGTGCAAGCACACTGTATTAAGCGGAACAGCACGTGCCTGTAGAGTGTAAAAAGCAGTTCTAAAATTTGTGCCCATGATTATTTGTTCCTGCTAAACGAAAGTCGACATTACAGGGACAGCTATAAACCGTCAACTTTTGTGGTGAAAAACTCTAATTTCGCACTAAAAAAAAAAAACGGAGCGTCAACGCTTTCGGCGTAAAAGCGAAGGCCAACCCTAAATTTGTGACCGCTGCCATCACTATCTAGACGGCATTCTGGTCACCATCCACATTGTTCATCACTTCCGGCTTTTGCGTTGTATAGCCTTCTGCTACTCTCTTAGAAAGATGCAAGAACAAACCATTCCCATCATCGCGGGCTTCTGCTCATTTTCGAACTCATTTTGGCAAAAAGGTTTGATGATGGCAAAAGAGCAGAAGTCGGAATACCTTTGACGTCTCAACCTGGAATAAAAACAGCATTGAGCAACCACGGCTCGAGAGGCTTTTGGCTTGAATTCATAAAAACATAAGTTTCTATCTATGGCACGCGCCATACTTAATTGGCTTGATCCGCTTTATCCAATTCATCCGCTTCGTCACTGGTCGGTTCGCTGATTTAAGCAACAACGGAGTAGATGAAGCGGATGAAGTGGAGCAAATATGGCGCGTGCCCATCGTGAACGTTATCAAAACGAAGGCATGAGTCGGCTGTAAATCGCTGCAGCGGAATCAGCGAGTCAAGTTACGGTATTCGATAGGATAAACTAGTACATCTAGTGTGAATTCTATGTTAGTTGGATCTTCGCCAGTGATACATAAATGGTGCACACATATTTCTTGTTATTAGGTTGTAAAGAAAGTTCCGGGGCACTTTTAAAAATTTCATTTTCAAAAGCATTTTTTGGCGCTCGGTCGGACTTTGACACCAAGTGTTGTACAGTCTGCCCCAATCGGGATCAGGCCGAACCGTCGGCTGAATTTGCGCGCTCGCAGCGCTAGGGGTTTGCGCTGCATACGCGCGCTGTCGCAGAGAGCGAAGAGATTGAGGAGAGAGCAGACTAGCTAGACGCAGAAGTGGCGCGAAATCCTCGCGACGCGCACTCCCGCCAAGCCAATTTTGGCCTGGTTAGGATTGGGGCAGACTGTACAGTGTTCAGTAGAGCAAAGCGTAAACTTTTCAATACCACCTCTGATCTCACTTTACACACTTCATCAAATCACATTTGTGTATATGTCACTTACCGGAAAAGAGATTTCTCATCCAGAAATCTCCAATCGCATCCTTCTTCCCGGTTTACCTGAAAAAAAAATGTAAAACAAACGAGCACAGCTGCACAAAACAATAGTTAGTGGTACGAAACTAAAAATCTGATTGAGAACATTGCCGCAATACGAGAGATAGCAAAGAAACACGAAAAAAATGAGAGAAAATCACATATGCAAGCGGTTGGCTGAGGGGCGGTCTGCGGCGCTCTGCCGTGGCCGGCCTGCTCCAGTTCGAATTCAAATTCGACCACCGACCGACTGCTGGGGTGAGGACGACTATAACTTCTGACGTGCAGCTGCACTCGAGTTTTGCGATTTGCGCTCAAAAATTACAAGCTGTCGAACTTGTCTCCAACTGCAACTCTTTTCGCAGCTGTCTTTGCTTCTGCAGGGATCGCCGCGCCTGGGTGATGGGGTCCAAAAGATGTGTAAGACATTACCCCAACAATGTTTGCAGTAATCAAAAATTTGGTCCGCCCTGTGCAGAACGAGAAGACTTCGAAGTCACTTACGCAAAAAATGGTGCATTTTGGGGGGAAAAATGGTCGCTTTTCCAAACTTTCCAAAAAAAATTTTTTTGCAGGGTTCCTTAACTTGAATGGTCCTCATAACAGCCCCAGCAGACTTCTTTATAACTACAGCATCTGGGGTCTTCAGCTGTTATTATGCCTGAGATAATCCTGCACAAATAGGCCGCTTTTTGCGTCGACCTTTTTCGCTTCTGCGCAGCTGGTGGTCCGCAGTGAGGTGCTGAAAAGCCAGCAAGACAAATATATGTTGTAGACGAAATTCTCTTTGCAATGAAATTTGTAGCTCTGAATAAGAATCAACCTGCTCGAAGTTACAGCGATTTGAAAAAAAAATTCGCAAGTGCCCCGAACTTTCTTTACAACCTAATACATTAGGATGTCGAAGGTCGCTTTTGATTCGAATTTTTGAATGCCTTTGTTGTGTATGCCGAGTCTTGGTACAATGATAAATAAAAAACGGAAATAAAGAACGACCCGACGCCCTGCTATCACCCTTTGTCCTACTTTTTGTTTATCATAAACATTTTCGCGCCATATGGTAGACGCTTTGTGCACATCGTCCAACCCCCTGCTGGCCAACGTCTCCTGAGTCGTCAGTTATTTCGTGTCGGAGAACTCCGCTTCTAATGAACCTGAGTATCCCTGGTTGTGTTAGTGGAGGCATAAAAGGCTCTCAAACCCAAGGAACCACCGCAATTTTTGGTGCATTTGCCCGGTTTGTGTTCCCGGCCGATGCACCAAAAATTGTGATGTGTCGTGGTAAAGTCATTACTCAAGAGCCTAATATTTCCCTTTGTCCAACTGATGTTTATCATTAACATTTTGATACAAAGAGACTTTCTTATGGCGGAGTCATCGGCAGCCTTTCTGGCCGTTGTATCGTCGGTGTTCTATGATTCATGTGCCGGAGAAGTCGGCTTTATTATTCTACTTAGTAAACTTCTTTTATCCTCCCAGTATTAGCAGCGTCACGGAAAGGTACAAGAAAACCCACTGGATCACGACATTTGAACATCATAAATCATGGATCGAATCGGTCTTCTGAGTGTCCTTTTGGGTGTGAAATTAGTTTTTGTTGTAGGCCATCATCAAAAGATGCGGTTAGAATGTGACGTTGTGATACTCAAGGACAACAGCAATGGCTCTGGCGTATGCATAGCCAAACGTCCTACAAAAAGCAGTAAAGCTATAATTACACTCGGTAAAAATCACATGAAGGTAAGGTCATGGTCCAAGAATGATGTGTTATGTTATGTTTACCATCACCAATGTTTTTTTTTTCAGGGTGGATTTCGTTTCCTGCTACATATAGCAACGAGGGCAGCTCCAAAAGGACAAAAATTTGAGGTGTGCTTACTTGAGATTTTTCATTTCAGTACTATTTCCAAGAAAAAATCCTTTTGATCGTAATACCTTCAGGTTACGCCAACTAATCTGAAGCAGATACATAAAGATCGAGTTTCTGCAGGAAGCATGTCATTGGTTTTCGCTGATCCTGCTGTTACTGTGGTAATCACAAAGGTGAGGTACGTAGAAAGTCATCTTTTGTTGGAATTTTAGTGTGGTTTTCCATCTAAGGGTTTTCATTCTAGTGCAATCCCGTCCATCTGCAGCGATTTTTGGAGAAAATTCTAGCAATTCTGAAAGGAGATGAAGTTTACTTGAAGGCTCTGGATACGGTACATATACTTCATGATCGTGTCGTGCATTCATTGGTGTGGAAGATTTTAGATCAAACAATCTGATTTCAAAGCAGTTGTGAAGTCGTTAAAAGTGACGAGTGACAATTATCGGGGTATCACATATCCTTCTTCGCTAGAAACGCTTGAGGTTTCTTCACTTGGTATATTTTCCGCTTTCTATTGTTTTCAACTGGTTTGCTGGTAAGTGATGCGTTCAGATCTGCAATCAGTTGATAGTCGATGGTTTTCGCTGCCTATGTTAACCACTTTGGACCTGTCATGTAATCGTTTGGGTCAAGCAAGTAATTTTGTAAAAATCAAACTTGTGTCCAAGCTGAGGAACTTACGGGTTTTGTCCTTGGAGAGGAATGAAATCAACATGCTACCAGTGAGTTGTTTTCCTCTTTATGAAATACTATAACTGCGCTGACATGAAATTTCAGCCCATGTTCTTTGATCTGTTGCCACCATCACTGCTGGCGCTAAATTTGTCTCAGAATCTGCTGACTTCGCTGCCAGAGTCCATAGTCAAAGCTAGAAACCTGCAAAATTTGAATTTGAGTCATAATCTTCTTACAAGTTTACCCAAAGATGTAAGTTTTTGAACTCTCGCTTTTTCACAAGTGTTTTTTCCTTATTGAAAACAATCTAGATTTCTGATATGCAGCTCCGGTGTTTATTTCTTGACCACAATCGATTGCCTTGCTTACCATATGATCTCAAAATGAGAAAATTCGAGAAGCTCTACTTTGATTACAACCCTATGATTGCTGCGTAAGCTTTTTCTTCATGATGTTTTTCTTTTCAGAGTTGTCACTTGCCATCACTAGTCGCCGTTGCTCATTTAGCTCGAAAATAGTCGTGTTTTACCTTGTAGTAAATGATTTATTTGAGTGTTAAAACAAAGTGCTGTCTCTTCTTACTTACAACTCTCGAAATTTGATCTCGATCTTTGGCCTTTATTTTCAGCATTTCATTGCATAATGAGGTCTTTTAGAATACCAGGAGTGCGGAATCCCACTTTCCCGTCTTTGTGTGCGATAGCAATGGCACAGCTGCGTAAATATTCGTAAGTTCTATTGCTTAACAAATTTGCGATTTTCATCGTCCTTTTGATAACGAGTTTCCCTATTTTTGTTTAGAAGTTTGAACATCTTGATTATCCATGAATATAAGGGGTTCACTAGAATATCCTGCGAATTTTAGTTTATTTTACTTTTTGTCTCCTGCAACATGTCTGTTTCAGGCTTCCCGAAAATGCTCTACCCTGGGATCTAAAAATGATTGCCAACTTGCTAACCATGAAGTGCTCTTGTTGCCGGAAGGTTAGCCTTGCTATCTTTCTTTTTCGGCTGTGCAGGATTCGATGCTTTATTATAGTGGACTCCTTCATCGATGTTATCATTATCCTTTACTCGGGTTATGGCCACTGATTTTGCGATGGAAACTGACATGATGCAGTCGATAACAATGCGAGCATTCACTTGTCAAAGTTGTACTTACCGTGTAAATGGCAGACGTCGTTGATACTTTCTGTTTTAGTAATGACTTTTATGGGTATCGTTTTTGTTATCTTTAATTTTTTTTTGTTCCTTTGCCAGAATTGGCCCTAGTGGCTCACATCTCAAGTTGCACAAGTCCAGCATCAATTCTAATGATATGCATTCGATGTGAACTATGCTCGAGAACATTCATAATTTGCAGAACGTTCTGATGCTTGTTCCATGGGTGTTTTTTCCAGTGATTTTCTCAAGTGAAGCTGGTTTGAACTTCTTCTGTAAGATGTAGTGGTAAATGTTTGATCTGGTAGGTATCACGTGTGTTTATTGCCTGTGTTGTTTGTTAAAAGCATTTGTACAGTAAATATGTTACTTGGAATTTGTAAATGATTAGATCTGTACTCTGACAGAACAACTAATTTCTACTATGTTGCAATAGGAATACTTACTGTTCATTTAATGAAAGTGAGCTTGTAACGGAAATTGTTGTTTTACTCAGTAAAAGCAATATGTTCATACAGAGTCAAATTGAAGGTTCGTTCTAAGGTATGTCATCTCGAATATATGCAGATATTGCGCGAACTGGGGCATGAAGGCTTGCTTTTCCGCTCTCTATCGTGTTTCATGTATTAGGTTTGCTTAAGAGTGTAGTACCAGCACCTTTTTGCTGTTCTGCATCTGAGCATGGTTCTTGCCGGTCATAGATATTGTAGGGAGGGCAGGTTAGGCTACAAAACGTAGTGCAAGCAACAAAGTCTCCATGCGCATTCTGCACCATTTTTTATGGCAGCGAGCTTCTCCACCCCTCTGTTTTTGGTGCCGGAAACCTAGGCGCGGCATTAGGGCCAAAAACGGACTTGTTGTCCTCATCCTTAGACCCATCAGTAAATTAAGCCATAGTGAGCTTTCCATTTGTTCTCTTCGGCCGCCTGTGTTCCTATGTGTCAACGCCATAATATCCATCATCAACTGCGAATTCGCATCTGCTCTCCTGGTCCTTCCGCGCACATAATCTTGTCGTAAACGTCAACGTAGATAATCATGTAAGAAAGAATCGAAAAAGTAGTTCAAAGCATCTTTGGCCGTCTTCGTCTATCTTTCGATCGCGACATGATTTAGCGGGAACTTTTGCGGGGTGGCGACACGCGAGCAACTATAGATGCAGTATAGGTCCCTCAGCATCGGAAACTTCATCCAGACGAACTCAACGATACCGAAACACCGTGGTGTTGGAAGGAATTTCTTGTTCTCTGTAAATTTTTTTTTGAATTATTGCTGAGCTTATTCATGGGTTGCATATACTTCAAATAAATCGATTTACTGAGGATTCCTAGGAGCCCATAAGGATCTCAGCATCGCTTTTTATGATCAATAATTCTATAACAATATGTGAACTTATTTTGTAGATATGGCTGCAGAAGAGGACCTTATGTCGTTGCTTACTGGTCGACTTGAAGCTGCCAAATCTCTCGAACAACAACTCCACGATCACAAGTATTCATCGATACAAGGAGTCAGTAAGCTACGAAATCGACTAGCAAGCGAGTTGAAGTTTTTGGATGGGGTGAGTTTCTTAAGTTCATTTCTAAAATACATGCTTTTGTATTGTGTGGTTCACTCTGTATTCATTGATTCCTTTGTTGTAATTCTCAGTGCTTTATATCTTAAGCTCATAACCACTAGTCTAGCAGTAGCTATATTGATCATACTATAGCTCTGCGCATCTCTTAGCTTTGTTATATCAGCTTGCATCCTTTTTCCAGATAGCTAAAGGAAAGACTCCATTGGAAAAGAAGTATATTGAGACGAGTAATGTGACCCATTTCGAGAATATCGTATCTGGGTTGACACGATTTCAAGATGTAAAAGCTGTTTTCCACACGTTTTCTATACTTGACCCTGATACAGACCTGTGAGTAACGTTATTATTCTTATCTCTTCGTTATCTGATTTGATTATGAGTCATTAGAGCTCATTTTTTTAAAGTATCGGAGATTAGGATCAACCAGTTGTCTAGAATCAAGTCTTGTTTCAGAGTGTTGAAGCATACGGTTGACATCGTTGCGAAGAAAGGCGAGCAGTGGGTTAGTTCTCATGAACCTCATTCACTATCGTTTCCACATCGACGCCTTGTATTACATGCAAAGTCTTAGCTTCTGAAGCATGTCTCTTTACTTGCTGTAAAACTTCTGAAGATGCATAGTTTTGCTGTATCTCTGTGAGCCGTAATCATACTTTATTCAGATCAAGATAATTTCAAGATCTGCAAAAGGTATATGCATGGATTGGGTTACGGGTAGTTCAAGAAATATCTTCGAGCAAGCTGATACATATTTGAATGTAAGTTTTAGAGGTTTTTGTTCGTTTGCATTTCCTTGTTTTTTGCTTTGCACTTGACTGGTCAATCGGTAATGTTCCGGTTGTTTTCTTTTCATCGCTTATTTCTTGACTCAGATGTCAAATATAGGTTGTGGTAAACTTCACGCTAATCAAAGACAAAAGTTTTCGTACGTTGCCGGTCCATATACATTGCTTTCGATCTTGATTATTCTCCAATCTTCATCATATGTATAAAGGCTTCCTTTGCTTGAGAACGAGACTCACTTGTCTTCAGATGGCAAGTCTTTTCCAACGAAATTATTCACCACCTGAAGTGGTATTCGAGTTTGTAGCCGGAGTGCCAGATGCAATGGCGACAAAGCTTCGATCACTCGGTATCACAGTCATAGGAGAAGAGGTTGGTTCTACGATAGTCTGTATCTGAAATGAAATCTATGCTCTTCAGATCCCAATTGACTCTATCACTAAAGTACCTGAGGATTTTATGGAAATGCTCATGGAGGATGTAGAGGAGAATGATAGAATCATATCGAATAATATAGAGAAACCAAAGGAGCCGCCCATAAACCTTGATGTTTCCGCTGTTTTTGTTTTGATCTCAAATATGACGCACGAGAATGGCACAAATCACTTGTACGAATCGAGTTCGCAATCTTGTTTACCACCTCCCCTTTCGTTCTGCTTCAGATTTTTTTCTGATTTAGATTTGATAGCGTTCTGCTCACACAACAAGCAGAAATGGAAAGAAAAAACCCGGCTAGGAAGCAATTATTGAGCCAAATCGAAGGTTTGAAGGTTTTCAATTAGTTTCAATCTCGGGAGTGTTAGGATAAAAATGTCATATAACAGGACGAGAGTGGATTATCTGCCGTACAGCATATGACTCTGTTCGCGAAATCCTGAAGACTGTCGGAGGCGACTGTGAGAGGAAGCGCATGGAGGAGTTGTTCAAAAAAGTACGATTAGTGGAAGATGCCATGTCCGAGAAGACAGCAGCGCTGAAGCATTCAGACCGAATTACGGAAAGGAGTATGGTGAGTGCTTACAAGCCCATTTGCACTTTCAAAGCTTTTAGAATCTGATTTGGACTTTTCTTGCAAAGCTGGAGTTTCCATTTACGTATCGATTCATTGTTTTTGTTCTTTTTTGACTCTATCAAAACTTTATTATCCGTATGTGTCTTACTGAACAATATGTCACTCACTTTCCAAAACAGTCTGCATTTCAACTTGTATCAAAACTATGAAATTACGATACTATGGTGTTCTGAACTTCAAAGTTTTTTGCCGAAACTCAATGAATACGAATTAAATAATAGTCATTGTGATAAATTTCGCAAAGTCGTAAGTCTCCAGTAACGCTCTTCTTATACTCTGCATCATATTCAATTTTCATCATTCCTCGAGTCCTGTTTTCATGCAAAATTGTGAGTAAATTTCTCCAGTAATGCTACTTTTATACTCTGCTTCATACAATCTGCAACTATCTTTCGTCTTTTTTCTTGCAAAATTGTGTTTTTTAAAGCTTTTGTCTCTTTATTTCCCCTGAATGTCTCAAATTTTCGTATCCTTCTACTTTCCTTTGTGCATCTATCAAAATTTTTATCTTGCGCTCGCAAACCAATCATATTCCCGTGTGAATGACGAAGCGCAAAACATCTCGCTCCCGGGTGGGCTCGAACCACCAACCTTTCGGTTAACAGCCGAACGCGCTGCCGATTGCGCCACGGAAGCACGGAGTTGTTGGCGTGAGGGAGTCCTCTTGAGCAGCCTCCACCTGCAGCAAAAGGAAACTAGCAAACCATCTCAAATCCTGATTGTATGAATTTTAGATTATTTTTGGATCTGGAGAGCATCATCGAGCTGTCACAGCTACTGCGAATAAACATTTCGTATCTTCCGCTTATCATCAGGTGGGAAATTATCTAATGTTTGTTAAAATACGTTATTGAAAAATTTCTTACCATTTAAGGGAGTATCATTTGATGTCATATTGCACGAATCACGAGCACTAAGTGAGCAGAAAGAACTGCCGCTTCCAGCTTCAGAATGATTTCTACAATCATGTAAAGATCCTTCGACCTTTTTTTCATTCTTACCACGAGATTCGGTGTGATTTCGGTTTTTATGCTTTCCAAGTCGAATCCTTTCATAGTTGTTTGAAACAACTGTGCAATGCCTTTGTTTGTTCAAAATTACTCGCCAAATTGACGATTTGTACGGTTCTATAAATATTTTCATAGATTTTGTGTTATGTGTACTCGTTGTTTTATGTTCCGCTATTTTTATAATAAAAATCGGTTGAAATTTTTTGTCACTGGTATGATCGTGTCTACAGTTTCAAGTACTGCACTGTCAATACAATACTCATCTTGAAAATTTTCGCTGAAAACTGTGCCAATCCTTGTCTGAAATGTCGTTTCTAGTTCACATCACTTTTTATGAACTGCATTCTAAGTTTCGCCTCCAATGCGTTGAATCGAAATAAAGATTCAGCTTCGGCTGTCGTGTCCTACATTACTTCCCAACTATTACTTACAGCAATCAAATGGGCAAAGGACCGCCAACTGAGCGTGCCCGAGTCATTGACTGTAGACAAGATGCGGTTCGTGCTGTAAGGTATAATGGTAGGTGGACGATCTTTGAGCTTGAGATATGTAGGTCTATAAATCTTTCATCAAATCATATACAAATTGCGGTTTCCTTTGCTGTCAACTTCTTTGTTCCTATAGTGATACAAGCGTGAAAGAGAAACACTCGAGTTTTGTTTTTTCTTCTAATCTTGGTGAGAATTCTGGGAATCTCAGTGAAATTCTAATCTCAAATTTGATCAATTTACGATTTTTTTTTGAATGGAAAAATTTTGTATTTTGCCAAACACCGGAGATTCCTATACACAAAGTTAACTGTTTTTGAAGAATTGCGAAAACTACTCTAGTTACAAATAAAAACGTATAACTACAATTTTCATACTCCTATAAGTAACCCAAAAATTCCGCGACCTGCTCTCAATGTAGATTATTTCTTCCTCAATAACTCATCCCAAGCTGGTTGAGCATGGCCTTCCGGCGTTTTATCCAAAATTGAAGAAAGAAACTCTCTAGACATTGGACTGGAGCAGAGAAGGAGAGATTCCGATTTTGGTTTCAGTACTTAATTCGCTGCCTAAAAACAGCTCACACATCAGCTGCGACCATTGGCGGTTCCACGATTTCATTCGAGGGGGAGGGTTTACATAATTTTCGAACAGAGGTGTGTGGCGTTAGCCACGCACTACGAAAGTTCGTTTGGAATGCTTCCCAACTTTTTTGCTGGTCCAAAACCCCAAAATAGTAGAAGAAGGGGGTGTTGTATTACCTACGTCCCTGAAATTTTTTTGCAAGGCTAACTTGAATTTTTGGAGAATTCAAAAAATTATTTCAGTTACTTACAAGTAAAAAAAATCACTTGCTCTATGGCTCAATTAAGTGACTTTCAGAGGTTTTGCAAAATAATCTCTCTATTTTTTCTGTGACTTTAAAGCCTTCTGAAGCTATAATTTTTTGCTAAACTGTTTTTCTCTTCCGAAGCACCCATTTCTCGACTGTCTGGCGGAAAGGCCTGCTACAGAGGCCCGACTTGTCGTGCTTCCATATCCTTAAAGTTGTAAAATAGTGCGAATTGCGTTGGATGACTGTCAGGTTAATTCAGTTTTGTTCCTCCAGCTCATAAGAGTACGAATTTAAGATGAAGATGGACCGGTGAAATGTGTCCTTGTGCTCCTTTTTTCAAGCATTTTTTGCAGACTGCCAGTTAACCGTAGAAATTGCGGGTAGCAAGCAACTCGTTAGACCTCAGAAATGAGAGTGCTTCGTGCTTCCAAGTAGCTTACGTTGCATTCTATTTTTATTTTGAGAAAAGAATGCTTAAGCATATCTATTATATGAACTTAAAATGCTACGCGATCATCTTTGGCTAAATATGTGGCCAATGTTTTTGTAATTTTAGTTTTGAATTCTAATCCGATGTTTCTGATCCCACTCTGCAGTGATTTCTCCTACAAACTTTCTTTTCCATCTTTTTCATCAATAAGTAGTAGGAATATATCAAATTCTTTGAAAATCTGAATCATGGCTCTTTTTCTCAATTCCGTTTTTCGCTGAATTACCTGTTGCTGTTGGGGTAAATGGTCAGTTAAATACGTCTTGGCAAATGGCAGTAAAAAACAATGTTTATTTTGCATGTTCGATTTTAAATCCTAAAGTGGGAGCTGAGATGACATAGGAAAATTACAGCCAGTTTTTTCAGGGAAATGGGAGAGAGGGCAAGGAAGCGGAAGCGATAGGAAACTTGTTTCCGAATGAGTGGGATAGACATTTTCCTCTCGATACAGTTCCGAGCTGCCAGATATTTTTTAAAATATTATCCAAATATATTTCAGATTGCTTAAAATTATTTGAGAGCTGACCCTACAGCAGAATACTTATTTACGAGTTTGTGTGATTTTGAGAAACATTCAAAAATCGTCTCAATATATTTTTGTGCTAAAGCAAGTCGCACAATTTTTTGGTAACATTTTTTATTGTTATGTTTACATTCCTAGTTCTAATAATACTACAAGTATTATTGTTCCCCTTCAAAGCTCCAATCTCTTTTTAATTGATAAGAAATCACGTTACAACCAGGATTTTAAGAGATGAAACACGAAAGTACTTTATTATAATTCCTGTGCGAAGTTATGAATTAAGCAGTAGCTATAACTTATAGCAGTAGCTAAGAATTAAGTCGTGTTGCTTTCGCCTCTCAATGACAAAAGTACCATATTTATCAAAGTTATCATCGAGCACAGAAGTATAGAGCAATTCCCATTTATTCGAACGAAAGAGAAAAAGATATCTGGATACGATGATACAAAAAAAGTTAAAGCCCGAAAAATTAGCATCTCATTCAGATATATATTTTGGCGCTTTTATTGAAGTTGTAATAGATTTGAAACAATCCAAAATTCTTAGTCACCTTGAATGAGGATGAGTTTGTAGCTGTCATTACGAGTTCGCTTTGTGCTGAAACGTGACACTTCAAGTGTAATTTTCGATTCAAACGCTTTTTGCACTTCAGCGCTCGCGAAAAAGTGCGCTGAATCCTGCTTGCGGATAGGAATAGGAATGAGACCGAAAAATACGCGCTTTAGTTCGGGTTTATGCGCTACTTCAAGGGTAACAGCCCTCTGGCATCGAGTTGGAGAAGTTTGGTTAGATTCAGAGGGAATTACAGTATGTCACTGGCGCGGCGTGCGAGTTTCTTGCGCCCGTTCGGGCGAATGGCTAGACATTTTGCTATGCTCGATCGATGGCGCTCGTTTCAGACCGCAACCACATTTTCCATGAATTCTTCTTTTTCTCGCAATGTGAATCATGTCGCTAGAATTGTAAATTGCGAAATATTTGCAATGTGCTGCTATCTCATGGATGTTCCGGGAACGTAGCGCAAACCTTTGCGATGTGGATGCGGACGTGGGACAGATAAGGGAACTCGCCATTGATGACGCCACTCTACTCCCTCTTTTTTTCTGCCGTTTTCTTTCCGGAATTCACTCACATTCGCTTTTTCTTGAATCCTACTTATCGTCCTTTTGAACCGATGTCCTAACACGGAACGGGGTCAAATTGTTATTTTTCAAAATCTTAACTATTTATAATTAAAAAAAATAAAGTTTAAATTCAACCATTTTACACGGTGTGAATAAGTAAAATAACCTCTAATACATAAAATTACAATCAATAGAGAAATGGTAATTTCTGAAAGATCAAAAAAATTGAATTTAATCCCAAAACCCCATTTTTATATTCATTAGATTATTTATGTTCTTTAAATGACATCGTTTTAGAAATTTATTTTAATTGCTGATTTTTGCCATACAGTCTGTTTCAACCCGTTTCAGGCCGAAATTGGGATGCATGCGTCCGCTCCGCAATAGTTCGCGCAGTACTGCGACAGCCAGTTATCATGTGTGATAGCGTTGTGCACCCATACTTCTCGGATTTTCCTTGGCAAGATGCCGGCGCTATGCGCTCGCAAAGCATTCAGCGGCGCGGACACGCCGCCAACATGAAATGTTTCGCTTGCATCAGATAAAACAAGCTGTAGATAATAGAAGGAGCGATCTCCTCTTATTGCTTGTAAATTATTGAGCTTTTCGCATAAGGAGTTGCTTCTCGCTTTCGCCTGAAAATTTTCGTGACGCTCTGCCATACATAAATCCATCTGAAGCATCCCGACGCAATTACCTCTCATTTTTGCTGCCGAGCAGGAGGACAAGTATGAACCCAGCCTTATTGACACACATGCACTAAGTGCACTTTCACAGCTTTTCCTCTTGCCCGCCACTCGGAGCTCATCGATTGCATATTTTCTCTTAACTCTCAGACTAGGATACACGGAAAAACCGTGCACAATGTGCTTAACAAGTTAAAACTTGTGCATTACCTGACCCCGATGTTTAACGCGTCAAGTGAGGTTAGGAACATGTTCAAGCCTATAAAGCCTGCGTGGCATTCTCCATTCATTCACTCTTTTGAGTGATTTGGTCTTCTGTCATAGTGTTCGCATTCAGTTTTTCACTGTATCTTGTTTCAGTTGACGGCAATTATTGCCTAACTTGTGGAAGTGACAAAACAATCAAACTGTGGAATCCTATAAAGGGCTCGCTTTTGAAGACATACACAGGGACGGGTAACGAAGTGAGTGGATTCATCATTGTACAATCGAGTAGAATTTCCGCTCAATACAGTGCGTTTGTGGTGCCGAGAAAATGCGGTAAAATTTGTGCGTGGATAAATAACCACGCCAGTAATGCCGGCGTTGTGCGCGCGCAGATGGCCGCGACACACGCGAAGCTTGTTCACGCGCGAATTTTACCGCATTTTCTCGGCACCGCAAGCACACTATATTGAGCAAAAAATCTCTGGACTGTAGATAGCTCTTCTGATCTTCAAATCGCCTGTCTAGGTTTTTGATGCGGCTTCATCTTCGGATAACTCACAAGTGGCAGCTGGTGGAGCTGACAAATGTCTGACCACATTTGATGTGGAAACGGGAAAAATTCTCAGGAGATGGAGAGCTCATGCGGGTTCGTAAGTTCGAACTTTCCAATTCGAACAGGTGGCAGTAATTGTTTTTTAGCTAGGGTAAATACTGTGGCTTTCAATGAGGAGTCAAACGTTGTTTTTTCTGGATCTGTCGATTGCACAATGCAAGCATTTGACAATAGAAGTCGCAGCGACAAGCCAATACAAGTTTGCTTATTTCTCTTGCCTTCGATGATTGTATGTAATTTTCTTTTGAAATGCTAGATCTTCAACGAAGCCACGGATAGCGTTCTCAGCATAGACATCAATGGAGGAGAGATTGTCGCAGGGTCAGCTGACTGTAACTATCGACTTTACAGTATAAGGGAGGGAAATGTTGGTATTATTGAAGCGTGATTATTGTTTGTTTAATAATTTTATAATTGCTTACTATCAGGTGCATATTGATTTTATGGGTGAAACTGTAAACTGTGTGCATTTCACGCCTGATGGGAATTGCGTGCTAGCTTCAACACAGGATGGAAATTTACGATTAATGGATAAAATGAGTGGGAAGCTGTTGGCCAGGTGACTGCTCGCATTCCTTATGGCTAATGGATTTTCTTCTTATATAAAAGTTGTTTGCATGTATATGTTTATGTTTATATGTTTTTTGCAAAAAGATGGGTGGGACTGATAGGCTCCGCCCACGCGGACATCTACCTTGCTCCATTCTTCCCAACATGCTATATCCGTACATTGCCCAGCGAACTAACTCTATCTTAGGAAAATGATATTAGATCAATTCTATTTCTGACAAATTTTTTCCACCGATCTTGACAGTGACGCCAAACCTCGCAAAAACAGCTGAAGATTTGAGATGCATGGTGCAGCATTCTCTCCTTTTTTCAGTGACCAAGTTCCAAAAAGCTTTGAATAGTGTTCAAATAGTTGCAGAATTTCTCTATTCTAAGTCTCTACTGGTTTTGGGAAGCTGGCGAAGAACCATCAGGTAGCCTGACCTCAAAATTTTCCGGAATTTCTAATATTGGTTATTCTGCGGGAGTTTCGATTTTCCATAATTTCTATACAAATGAATTATTGAAAAACTTGCAAATTTATATTTTTGCAGTAGTTTATAGATCTCCAGCAAATCACTCTTGATTTTTTGCAGTTCGGCACGCTTCATTTTGCTTGTTTTTGAGTGGACAATGTCGCGGATTCGCGACTTCCTTTATAGGAGGCCGCCGTCGCGTTGCGAAGGGTCCCAAAACGCCGTCCTCGCGCTGTCCCGCCTCTCACCTCTCTCACCTGCGCAGCGTTCAAATAAGTCACGTAGTCAGTCTTCACTGCTGTCGCCATCGTGAGCGGTCGGGTTCCAACTTCGTCTCAAGCCATCGATCGATACAGCGCCTTCCCCAACTCACGCGTCATCTACATCCACGCCATGGAGGACAGGCAACCCCGCAGTCGAGGTAACCCCGTGCGCGCTCGCGCCTGGCACACGCCGGCGACACCGCCACGGGGGGTTTCCGATATTGCTGGCCCCTAGGTTTCTAACAGCTGGCTGGTTGTTTTCATTCCCTTGTGTTTGAGTGTAGGGTCTGTGTTAAGGATAAATGGTGGGTAGTTGATAACTTGTGGTTATTGATCGATGCGGTGGACTGCAGCTTGGCTGCAGCCCCGAGTAATATCGTGTTGTATGTTTTTGTCGTCATCATCTACAGTCCAGATGGTTAGATCCGTGAGAAGACTGGCACGATGCCGGCTAGTGCCAAGTGGTGATGGCCACCCCCAAGTGTCAGTAGTGAGAACGGAGCCAACGCCCCAGGCTACATTTAGTGCTAGGTGAGCTGGTAGCTCAGGGCCTCTAAGAGTCAGGCGTTATGCCGTGTGGCAGGCACAATAGCATTTAGTGCAGGCTAGCTACCGCCCCAAGTGACGTGAACCCTTTCACGGAGAGGGTCCCCGGCTCCTACACGCCGATGCAGGTGAGCCGTATCCACTGACGTGGGGAGCTGGGGGCCCAATCCGCGACAGACAAATTCAACGAGATTTTCGTAAGAAACCGGCGACTTTGAAAGTTGTTCGGAAAATATATTTGAAACGCATAACCTCCTCTTTATAAGCATACAAATTTTCCAAATTTATTGAATTTGTGGTTAGAAAGAAAAATGTTGTTCTCATTTTCAATCTATATATTCACCATTTTGCCTTCTAGCCATCAGTGCAGTAATTTGTACAATATCTTTGTCTTTTTAGTTATACCGGGCATAAGAACACGGAATATAAAATCGAAAGCTGCGTGTTGGCTTCCATAGAAGAGGTGGCGACAGGTTCAGAGGATGGATTTGTTTACGTCTACAGGTTGGACATCATTTCTGGCTCATTTCATGCTTAAACTCGGAGGCTTTTCGAAATGAGCTACTTTATAGAATTTTTTCCCGGCTAATTAGCATAACGGGACCGAAGCCCTTTCAATTTTTCCGGGTTGAAGATGCTTCCGCAGAGTAGCTGATCACTTACGAATTCGGTTTTTTTTTAAATTTCTGTTTTTAGTCTACTGGACAGCAATGTGTTAGCAAAACTCGAGCACCCTTCCAAAGTGGTCCACTCACTCTCCCCACATCCGAAGAAGCAGCATTTGCTAACAGCGGCTGGCCAGCTTGTCTACCTCTGGGTTGCGAAAAATGATGAAGACTTTGAATGCTGAAGTACTCATTTGTTGATGCTATTGTAATTCTCTCTATATGCTGTCACTATTGTCTTTTATGGATTTTTGATTTTACCTGTGAAGTTCTTTTGGAAATAAATAAAGCATTGTTGGTATAACATTAGCTTCTTCAAAATGATGGGATATTTCCAGCTTTTCAGTTTCTTCTTTTTCTGTGATTGAAAATTTTTTTTGTACAGTTGAGTAGATTATTCATTCGACATAGTGTGATTGCGGCGCCGAGAAAATGCGGTAAAACTTGCGCGTGACTGCGTGCCGGGCGTGAACAAGTGACTGCGCCTATGACGCCGGCCGCTTGCGCGCGCAAGTTGTGGCGTGGCCGCGCTCGACCCATTCCCATTTTCTCATTGCAAGCATACTATATCAAGGAAAATCTACTCGACACACAACTTGGGTTCCTTATCTTAAGTCTATTTTTTCCAGATTTTTTGGTGAAATGGCGTCTGCCGTAGGTATGGGAGGACGTGCACTTGAGTCTGTTTCCCGCATTGCGGTCCGTGGAGCTGCGACAGCCGCGCCGCCTCCGCCGAAGAAACCCCAAAAAACTTCGTTTGGAGGACTCAAGGACTCAGATCGTATCTTCACCAACTTATATGGTCGTCACGACTATCGCCTCAAAGGAGCACTAGCTAGAGGTGATTGGTATAAAACCAAGGAAATCATTTTGAAAGGCTCGGAATGGATTATTAACGAAATCCGTAAATCTGGTCTGCGTGGCAGAGGAGGTGCTGGTTTTCCTGCAGGAATGAAATGGAGCTTTATGACGAAGCCATTTGATGGGCGTCCGAAGTATCTCGTAGTGAATGGAGACGAAGGAGAGCCTGGAACTTGTAAAGATCGTGAAATTATGAGACATGACCCACACAAAATCATCGAAGGAGCTCTTATCGCTGGCGTGGCCATGGGCGCACGTGCTGCTTATATTTACGTTCGTGGTGAATTTTATAATGAAACTTGCATTCTGAAAGAGGCTATCCATGAAGCTTATAAAGCTGGATTTATTGGCAAAAACTGCTGCGGAACAGGCTACACATTCGACGTCTTTATTCATCGCGGTGGTGGTGCATACGTCTGCGGAGAAGAAACGGCACTGCTGGAGTCGATAGAGGGAAAGCAAGGCAAACCCCGTCTGAAGCCCCCGTTTCCAGCTGATATCGGTCTATTCGGCTGTCCAACGACTGTCTCAAATGTGGAGACCATTTCTTCTTCTCCGACGATCTGTCGCAGAGGTGGAGATTGGTATGCCTCATTTGGACGTGAGAGGAACCATGGGACTAAGATATACTGCATATCCGGACATGTCAATCATCCATGTACCGTCGAGGAAGAGATGTCCATCCCGCTCAAAGAACTTATCGAACGACACTGTGGCGGAGTTATCGGTGGATGGGATAACCTTCTAGCCATCATACCCGGAGGCGTGTCCGTCCCACTTCTGCCCAAGAACATCTGCGAAACTGTGCTGATGGACTATGATGCTTTGCTTGAAGTAAATTCAGGGCTCGGAACTGCTGCTGTCATAGTGATGAATAAGCAAACCGATATTGTCAAAGCCATTGCTCGCCTATCCACGTTTTATAAACATGAGACTTGTGGACAATGTACGCCTTGTAGAGAAGGTTGCAACTGGTTGGACAAAGTTATGTGGCGATTTGTGGATGGAAAGGCTGATCCGAGTGAAATCGACATGTTATGGGAAATCACTAAACAAATCGAAGGCCATACTATTTGTGCTCTTGCCGATGCTGCAGCATGGCCTGTGCAAGGTTTGATCCGTCACTTCCGTCCTGAACTCGAACGTCGCATGGCCGAGTTTCAGAAGAGAGCTCTTGCCGAAAAAGCGATTAGTAAAAGCAAAAGCACTAAATAGGCCATAATTGAAGCTTTTGGAAGTATTGTCTAACTTCGGCTGTTTAGTAAATTTGGTTTAGATCATGTAGTATCGATATTTGCTAGCAGCAAGACCTTAGAAGTAGTTCCGTAGACACTGGAAATGTGACGTATAGTCTGTCTCAATTACAGGGGCTTTTGCGCGGAAGTACGCACCGCACGTCATACCGCGCCAATGGGCGCGAGACTCCGAGGAGTCGGTGGAAGAAAATTACGATTGAGACAGGCTGTATGTGTCTGTCATTGGTGGTGGCATTTTTTGTCTGACGAAATGAGGTGGTCCTTTTTTTTCTGATGAAATGAAGTAGATTTTGTGGATAATATTGTAAAATGAAGTGTTTACAAAAATTCGGTGTCTCCGACGAGAATTCTTGTAAATATTTTGTGAAGGTTTGTACCTCGCAATTTGCTTTCCAATCACTATTATAGGGTTCTCGCAGATAGAGAAATATTGCGCTAGTCCCTTCTAGACATTACAATGAACGACCTTGAGTTGGCAGGTAATTTTACTAAATGCGCCAATAGAAAGTTTTCACTTTGAACTACATTTGTGCTTTCGTGGTAAATGGGTCTAATCATTTACAAATAATTTACGGATAGTAGTATTTTGTCATTTTGTTTCTGATATAACAAGCCTCGACGATGGACTCAAATAGTAGATAAAAAATTAGCAAAACCTTACAACACTTGTGAAGTCAGTTTTTGTATAAGTCAAAGTAGACTTCAGATATGATTTATTTCTATTTGACTGCCATAATCAAACACGCAATTTGCAGTATTTACTCTTGTAAGAAAACAGATTAGTTTGTACAACAACGGCGATATCATATTTGATCTGCAAAGGCAGAATACAGAATTCACCCTCCGACACCTATGTTTCCTCCAACTCCTACAAGCGACTTCGCTGGTCTGTAATGTGGGACTTTGATGGTTCCATCCTAAAAGTAAAAAATTCATGCCAAAATCTTCTTGAGTTGGCATCGATTCCATGGCTTCGCCCTAGAGTCAGGGATCGGCACGAGGTGACCTTGGCAGTTTCTAGAATGTGAAGCTCCCCTTAACTTCGCAACACTATTACGACATGCCTTGTGGGGGACTTTCAGAGAAAATGAATAGAAAACGGCATAAACTTTAAAAAACACTCGAAGAGGACGCTAATGTTCGTATCGTTTGTGTCGGCGAGAAAATGTCTCCGGCGCGCAATACCGCGCGCTTGGAGCGACGTTATTGTCAGCGTTCAAACATTTTGGGAGGCTATTACTAATCGAAGGGGAGGGGTTTGCAGCAGTTCAAGATCCTTTGGATAGGTAAAGATGTAGTTCGAAGATGTGTGGAAATGTGAAGAAAATCCTGTAACGACGGAAAAAAAAAACTTATCTGTTTTCTCTGAGACCAAGGCGGCTCTCCAAGTGGCTTCAGGTCACCTACCTCCGAAAAAATGTACGCATTCAGTTCACATGAATTTCATGATTTTTCATGCATAATCTCAAATCCATCGCGCATATAAGCACAAGCGTCAGTGCCATGTCGCAAGGACAAAGCGACGTGACACCAACACTTGTGCTCGTTGCGCCCCTTGTTTATCTCAGGAAAAGTTATAAGTTTGCAAAGAGAGTAGGTTGTTAGTTCTGCAGATTGGTGAGAGATTATGAGCACTGTTTATAGAGGACGAGGAGTTCGAATAAAAGAAGGGAGATCAGAGGAGCAGGATGCTCATGGAAGGTGGGGGGGGGGGATGAAAGTTGTGAAGTGTACAGTCGAGTAGATTTTCTGCTTAATATAGTGTGCTTGCACTGAAGGTGAAATGCGGTAAAATTACGCGTAAAGAATTAGCCACGCCACTAATGCTAGCCTTTTGCGCGCGCAAGTGGCCGGCGTCACAGGCGCAGCTATTTGTTCGCGCGCAAATTTCACCACATTTCACCTTTAGTGCAAGCACACTATATTAAGCGGAAAATCTACTGGACTGTACATAGAGACTACTACTGCATGACTAAGGCGCAGTACCTTTGGGTGCAAACGCGTCTTTAGCCGCAGAGCGCATGAGGCGCAGAGTTTACAAGGGTGAAAATACGCGCGCGACGTGTTCACGCCCGCTCAACTTATACTGCTTCTGCGCCTTCATCATGCAGTAGCCTTTACATATATGTAGGACACTTATGACTAGCGACTTATGCTGTGTGAGTGAGGTGAAGGGATAGCATTTTTTTGCGCGGCTTAGCCTGGGACACCGCGAATGGGATATATACTCTTTGCTTTTTACCCACAAAACAATATACAGGTGAAGTGAGATTGTCTAATTAACGAATGATTTATATTGTAATAGTACCCTTTCTCTGCTTTTCATGCCTGAACAAAAGCTCAGTTTGGTCACGAGCCTTCGAGCCACCTGTACCGAGCTCTGTCACATCAATTATTTTTGGCGCCAATTTTCACGCTGTAGCTTGCGAATTGCGACGTGTATCCAATTTCTAGGTTATTTACATTGTCGCTTTCGAAGTGCATTAGTAGAATCACTTCTTGAATAAGAAAAAGCCTGATTCATAGCAGTACATCATATACACTGCATAAAAGATGAAATACCGAGCGTTATAATTCGACTTACCCTCACTCCCTGCCAATACTTTCGTGCTTTATCGGGAACAATGTTAGCCTTGTTCCCATCGTAGTCATTCAGTGATTGCCACTCACCCTGAAAACATGATATTTTGGGTAGTTACACCGAGCACTGAGCAATCGTCGACATCGTCAGTGTTGTTCAAACAACTGGCTAGTATAGATAATCGTAAATCGGTAATCTGATTTCCCTCGTCGTTACCGCTGAACCGACAGATTTGGTATGTGAGGGTAGCGCGGGCTTTTGTGTGCGCAGCTTGAGTGTACGCTCACTCGGTGTATAAAGCCATAGAAATTCATATATACGTTCGAACTGCATCGATTTCATCAACAGGAGCATGACTATGGCGAGACTGTGTCCAGCTTCTGCTTCATCGATATTCAATGATTAGCCTAGCACATAAAATTCCACTTCCATTGTGCTGTATCGACAACGCAGCTCTGCTCCTACTGAACTTTTCCGTTCCCTAATTTTTGTTTGTCTGCCTAGTATGATGGATTAGATACTAATATCTATCTTTTATTCAATAGACCGAATTCTAAATCTGGGCTACACCATTATTTCTACTACTGGTTTGATGGAAGAATCGCCGCAGAGAATGAATTTTGCAGGCAAAGTTGAAGGCAGTGTTCCGGCAAAATTTCACTGTCCAATTTTCCACCTTTTCGCAGATTCTCGCCATGAGGAACCCATATCTGTGTTTTTCAGTACATGAAAATGGCGAAAATGAGCATCTTTCGAAGTTTTCCAGGTCCGCATTCAGTGAAAATACGCCGGAAGTTTTCCGCACCCCGTCTCCCTCGTTTCGAGCCCCGCCCACTTACACGTACTCACTGAATGCGGACCCGAGAAGTTTCGGAAAAAGCTCATTCTCGCCATTTTCATGCGCTGCAAAAGGCCAGATGGGTTTCTCATGGCGAAAAGGCTCCAAAAGGATGGAAAACGAAATTTTGGAGAGACACTGCCTTCAAGGGGCTAGAATCATCAATTGACAAAATTTTTTTTATCTGTAGCACTTTACTTTCTGGTAACGTCTCCCCCCACTTTTCCCCACACAAATGTTTTGCAAATTCAAACAGTAAAATGTCTGATTTAGTCTTCAAAAGTTCTTATTGTCCCAATTGAGACCAAAAGAATCTTGAAGACCATCACTAACATTCTTTACGGACCAACAGTCTCCTCAAAGAGAAAATAGACTTGGATTTGATCCAAAATCAGGCAAAATATTTACCCCATTGATCTGCTGCAGGAGCATTTTTTGCATTCTGCATGGGCTTGATACCGAATTTCCTACGTATCATACTGGAACAACAGCTAGAAAAAAGCCGCTAGTTTACATTTGAGCTATGATTGAATAAAAACCCGATACTTTGGAAACCTGAGCTTCCTAACCATTCAAGTGTCATGGCCTGAAATCCTGTCTCAAACATAAGCATAATGCTAATTCCACATTGATGATACAAGATTTCTTGCAGTCATCCTGCTGGAGTGACTATTTGAGAGTAATTTCATGAATTCCGATATTTTATTCAACGGATGCGTGATTTTGTGGCTCTGCATTTGGGTGGTAAGGTTATTTCTGATAAATAGGCTGAATCTGGAGACCAATCTGAGAGCGCTAACATTGGAAGTTCAAGTTTTGCCAAACTCGATAGCCAATATGCAAGTATCGAAAGTTGTGGATTAAACGCGCCATATTCAAACTTTGCACAAAAGGACTGCACGGCACTTCCCGTCACCGATATTTTCTATTTTTCGCTCAGTTATTGTTGATGTTTTTAAGTGATAGCACAGTTCGGCTCGGGCGCTAGAGAGCTATTGACACTGTATCTCACAAAATAACCAATATCGGGCAATATTCTATTTATTTGGCTGTTCACCGAAAACTGTACTTTCATAACAGATAGAGAGGATAGAGGGGAGATTTCGTAATTTCCACATGGCATTGCTTTGATCCGCCTCTCTATCATCGGCTCTATATTGTCCAGCTGCATCAGTTCATCACTCGGCTTCTGTACGCAGTGGTGGCTACGTGTCGGTGTGGTATACGGTAGCTTACCCTCTCCCCCCCCCCTTCCCGTTTGCTCATACCAGCTCTGTTTTGTTTTCTTATCTCCAAAAAAGTCCTCATTGTCATCTGCAGGTGCTAAGTAGTGGTGCCGCAGGTAACCCAAATGTGATTACCTGCTGTCTGCTGCTTACCATTTGTACGTGAGACTATGAGTTTTGAATGGACTTGGGTATGTATGTTCTAATCTTGATCAGTTGGGTAAGCCCTTCTTTACTTTGTAGTGTTTTTTCTGTTTCAGGAACGCTCAAAGCAGCTCGCTACACGATGTTACCGTAACTCGGACATGACAAAATGTCACAAGTTCCATCTCAGGTTAGTAAAACTACCACATAATCCGAGTACTACTGAAGACAAGCTGAGTTAACCCATGCCGGAGAGGTATCGCGGTATGGGTACACTGATGACTCCACCTAACCTCTGCGATAAATTTGCTCTGCCACAAAAATTCAAATTCATAATTTAGCTCGGTTGAATAGATAACGAGCAATCAGAGATTACACTCAATTATCGCTTTGACTAAGTTAGATTTGTTTGCAGGCAATTAGGCCATTTTCTACTCTTCTGAATCATTTGAAATATTTTTACTTGTTTTGAGAGTAGATCAAGCTTTATCTGCTGGTTACCCTATTTGATCTGATCTGGGAAACTCAGTCAGCCCATAAACACAATATCAGATTCTTATATATATAAAATCGTAACGTACAATCAGAAATCATCAGATAGGACGAAATCGAACGGGTCCCGAAACGAGCGCGCGCAATCTAGCACCTTTGAGATTACTGGTTCACAGGTCTTCCTATAAAGAGTCGAAACTTGTCCCTTATGGGTGAGGGATAAATTCCTACATTGTTGGTTGCCTTCGAGGCCCTAATCCTTTCGCAATGACTTTTCATGTCGTTTAAGGAGCAGTGGTCCGCGACTCTACCCAAATTGGTGAAATTCCCGTTACCCAGTCTGGGGTGGAGGACTATATGTCGCCGAAAAAGGGCGGTCCCCGCGGTCATTTGCGACAAATACGCACCCTTGTACATGCGCGGACATGCGTTCCTGCAGGGAATCCGCGCGGGACTCTTCCAAATTCGGCGACATATAGTCCTCCACTCCCCAGTCTTCATTAATACAGATGGATGAGTCCTGGGCTTTACATTTAGACAGTCATTTCTACTTTGGACCACTCGCCCACGTAATCTCTCTAATCATGGTGATAAAATTAGATAGAGGAGATACGTTGGACAATTTGTGGAAGTGCATACAATCATAATATCTACGAATATTCATTTTTGATTGAGACGTCCTAAAAATGGAGCTAAAGTGCATCATTATTTACATCGCAGTTTTGAGTTCCCTGCACTTTTGTGCAAAGTCAGGCTAGGTTTTGTTATACTTGAAAAGTCCTACGAGTAAATCATCTCAACTAATTTATGACCATCAGTTTCTGCTCCATTCAATGTGAGCAAAAGCAGTAAATGGGTGGGGAAAGGAAAACGCGAGGGGTAGGGGGTACAATCTAGCACTCTTTATTCTGCTGGACGTTTCAATATCGAGAATACTAATTGCGTGATTTTCCATTGTTTGTAGCTTTTGCCAATTTCGCTAAATTTGTACATCATCTGAACAGTGGCTAATATTGCATGTCGGTGCTCTGAAGCTGTGCAAATAATAACAACCCCCAGAAGGGTTACGGTATCCATTTGTTGTTCGTGGTGAGATTGGTGATGATACAGCGCTTGTACAAGCATTCGCTTGGTGTAGGGGTGGGGGGATATATCACGAAGAGAAGTCGCACGATGCGGGTTTAGTCCCGGAGAAAGTACTGAGCCTTTTTTTTATCCTTGTTTCAGGATAAGTTCTTTCCATCAAACTTCTTTCTTCAAAAAAGATAAGGTTACTTTTTATGCAGAGCTTTACATGACCGCACTCGAAATCAGAATTTCACTGCATTCACTTTTTTGGCCAGAATTCATCCCCAAACGGCAGCATCCATTCGAATATTTAGCTATCGCATGTGGTTTTTAACCATATTTTTGAGATCATCAGGGCTCAGATATCCATGAGTTTTCGTTGCGGCCATTCTGTGGTCCATGAATTTCTATTAAAAAAAGCAATCGCCAAAGTTTGCTCATCTGTGTAAGCGTAAGGGAAGGGCCTTCTGTTGACAGTTTTTGCAAAAACATTTAGCATTCCAAGCACAGAAAATTGAAAAAAATTCGTAATTTGGGATTTTGAAGCCTATGCAAAAATGTGACAAATTCAGTTTTGTTTTTTTTCTTCTCGCAAATCTTCTTTGTTTAGAAACAGTGGCTTGGGAGAATTTCAACTGCGCGCTTTCTGCCCCTCTTTGGCCTTCTGGATGCGTTTAGACTAGAACTGTGCTTGAAAAGTGAAAAAAGTGCTTTATATGGTGTTTTCCTGCCTTGGAAATGGCTAAGGAGGCTAGAGCGGAGATCTCCGCAGCCGAGTCGCGATTGGCTGCTTGGACCAATCAGCCAATTGCCGCCAAAATGAGTGGTGTTACAGTCTCCTGCAGCCAGTCACTGTTTTTGGCGGGAATCTTTGCCCCGCCCCAACGATCTCCAAGGCCGGAAAGTGCCATAAAAAGCACTTTTTTGACTTTTTAAGCACAACTCTGGTCTAAACGCATCCAGAAGGCCAAAGATGAACAGAAAGCGCACAGTTGACATTTTCCCGAGCCGCTGCCTTCAAGCCCTATCCATCTTCATTTGTACTAATGGCTTGCGGCTACAAGATAGGCTACTTATCATTTACACTAACAGACCTTGAAGGGAGTTAAGATTTGTCAAAAAAGAGGTTCTAGAAAAAAATTTTTTTGTTTTAATCCATATTTTCCTGCCCGTTTGGGACATGAATAGGTAGATGTGCGCTTTTGCAAATGGACTGATTGTTAGAAAGCTATAGCACGTCAAATTGAGGACTCGCAAAACGCTCACAATTTCTGCATCAACCTGATACAAAGAATCAGTCACTCGTCTATTTAGTTTATTGACTTTGGAACATTTTATTCTTAAAACAAAGTCAATAAGATTGGGTAGAGGAACGAATCCGCCATCAGACGCTACTTTCGCTGACTACTGGTCCTCCTAGGTAAGTTATAGCATATGCAAAAGGACCGTTAAAGCATGATTTTTCCGTTCTTCTGTCAGAATATAAATCCACATAAGAACACTCAGCGAAACGAAGCTTTACCAATTGAAATAATTTCTCCTCTTAGTAGTGTACATGAGAGGATAAAAAATAGAAAAAAAATGAAGAAGAAGATTTTTCGTACCTGTCTTGGATAAATATTTTGACCAATAGGTAGTTGTCCAGCCAGACCTGATGCTCCAAAGCCGACGCCCACCTATAAAAAAATTTCTTTAAATCATCATTCTAACGCTGTGTAGTCTAGAGTGATTGATTGTGAGCTGCTCGTATGGTGTCAGCTCACCGAGACTATAATAATCTAGTAGCCTTGGTTGCTGTAAAAATTCTTGAGTGAAGTGAAATGAACAATCTGGTAAGCGTTATTGTATAGCGCGGTGCCAGCAACATTTGCGCGTAGAAATTGCTCGGCTTGCACTGCCGGCAACGTTTGCGCGTCTAAGTGGCCAATGCGCGAACAATCTCGTTCTTGCTTACCAAAACCGTTTTATTACGCGCAAGTGTTATTGGCAACGCATTGATATTATGCTCCTTCTTCAGATATACTAGGTAATGGAAAATTAATTTAAGTACTGTAAGCGATGCGCTGGGAGTCACATCTTTGACAATAAGTCTCATCTAGGTTGCAGGGGGATGCTTTTTCCAGCTGATTTCATTGTTTGAAGAACTTTTTCATTACATTAGACAGTAAATAGCTATAAATTTGACTCACTCTTGCTCCGACGCTTACTGGATCATTACCTGGCACACCAACACCGACGCCGAATCCGACATCTGGAATTTACTGCAATTCAATCAATATTTGATTTTTGTAGTAATCAATAAAGGATGTGACAACAACGCAATCTCACTTATTGATCCAATGTCTTTTAATAAACCGTTATGGTTAGGATCTACTTCTTCGTAGTATTCTGTGGTTGTCTCAATTCCTTCTGTGATCTTCTCTTCTTTCTTTTCCTTGTCCTCTTCTGGCCACTAAGAAGGGTGCGCGTTGTGAAACAAATCAAAAAATCAATAAAGAAAAGTGAAATCAGCTGACTTCTACAAGTCCTTCGCCGAAACCCCAGTTATTTTTCGAAGATAGCGCTTCTTCATTTCTTTCACTCTTTCTTGCAAGGCGTCTGCAGTGAATCAATAAAGTCAATAAAAATTATTCCAATGGCATCATACCGTACCCGTTTGTGTCTTCTGAGTTGAAGGGACTGGGAGGAACGCTTGTTGATATCTTTTCGTGTCCTTCAGCACCACTTTCAACTAGAAAAATTGGATTGTGGTAACAACGAAATAATAAAATTTAGGTCACATTGGCTTACCTAACGTGACAAAAATACAAGTGATAGCGATAGCAATCGCACAAGGCATTTATCATTTGCGGACGAATGACGATGAGAAAGTCGCTGATGTGAAAACCGGCTCAGATATTTGCGATTTTCGGATCACATAATCAAACTGTGTACCCTACCTTAAGTCTTTTCGCACAAGTTGCTCTGGATTCGTCGGTCGGAGTTTTGTAAATTCTCCTCCCTCGAGGTGACTGAATCCTGTTTACTATGATGTCCTGATACTTTTGGCGGAACAGTCAATATTTATAAAGAAGGTAAAGTTACCTCCACTCAGAATGAATGGGAGTCAATATTTGAAGCAGTTTTCTTTATATTGATGTTCTTCGAACCTAACTGGTAAAAAAGGAAAACAGTCTTTCGTAAAGATCACGCTTGAGCATGAAAAAAGAATTTTCACTCGGCACGCTGGCACCGGGTTAAGCTGGATACGTTTTCGGGACAAAAAGCAAAGGGGATATCATCCATGCTCGACTATCTACCATACCATCTACCTCGACTATCTGTAGCTGACGGATTGTTCTCTAAGCACTCGACTTTTTCAGACTTTGAAGAAGGCGAAATCGCCGAAACGTTGGTCTTAATATTATAAAAAGTTTCATCAATCTTAGGTCAACAGCTGAAAAAAGAAGATCAGTCAAAGGGGACGTTTTTGCGACCGAAAAGACGCAACAACTGCGATGTTTTTTTTAATCGACGTTTAATTTTTTGACGGTTTTCTAAGTTTAGGATTTAGGATCAAGATCAAATGGGACCTCGTTTCGAAATTTCCCTGGTGCCAGCTCGTGCCGAACCCTCACTCTGTTTTCCTTTTCCACTCTAATGCCAGCACGAGGCAGATAATCAAGGTAATCAAGGTTATCGAGGTAATCAAGTGACCAAAGATAAGGAGTACACGGTTTTTTAAGCAGTGCAATAAATCACCTGCCAGTCATATGCCAAATTGGACTGGCGTTATGCCAGAAAACTCAAAATGTTTTTGATAATTGGCGAAGTGATTGCTATACTGAAATTACCGAAATTATTCAGTAGTAAATTTCAAAAGGTTTATTGGGAGGTAATTGAAAAAAAATGAGTACTGTGAGCTGAAAGAGTTGTTTATGTTCATTCATAGGAAAAGGTTGCATGTTCCCAAAAATGTGATAAGCTTTGGTTCAATTACGTTACGGAGGTCATTCTCATAGTTTCACTGAATTTGCATTATGCGTTTACCCTTTCCTTTGTCATAAAACTTCTTATATCCTTTATCAGGTACAAGAACATGTATCTCTAATTGATAAGAGGTGGGTACAGTTCGAATTCCAAAGACCACTCTCAAAAATCGCACTTATTAATACTTATCAATCCTTGTCAAATACTGTAACTGATTGATTGGTGAGGAATATCGAAATTAGTCATAAAACCTGCTTTTTCTTTTGGCGCATTCGTAAGTTCGTCAGTCTCTTTTTTTCATATCTTAGTCATAATTTCCTCAAATTTTTCCGACGTCATCTTGGCTCTTGTTGCTGATGTTTTGCTAATTTATAAAAAAAATGATTGTTGCACCAATGAGAATGAAGATCATGATGTTTCAAATTCGAGCTTACTATGTGCACACTCGTGCACCTGTAGTTTGCTTGTTCTCTACTTTGAAATTCTTTAGAGCAAGTTATGTCTAGGATTTTATTCTTTGAAGATTTTTGCTGCGAAAATTACATTTTGCATCGATTGGCTTTTAGTTTTACTTTTGATGCTGATTTTGTCTTTAGTCCAGGATTGCTTCAGTCTAGGAAATATGTCGATAATTAGTGCTGGTCATCTACTAGAGCAGGCCAGATTTAGCACCTTCCTTGAATTTTGCGCAATTCTGAATGCTGGGTTTTTTGGACTTCTCAGCGTCTTAAACGACACCATTTTGAACTCAAAGTAAGCGAATGAATGTAAGAGAAGCGAATTTCAGCTCTTTGTTTTTTTGGATCATTCGAATACCGTTAGCAATGCGATAGTTTTTATGTTGCATCCAATGCAGCCTTTTCTTCGACCATATTTATGAGAAAACTGCCAATTTTTAAGCCTCCTCTTGTAGAATAAGTGTTCAGCCACATTTAACTCGTTGAGCTTGGAATTTCTCTCATTGGGATTCTTTCAGGTTTGATTGTAGTCATTGTTCAATGACATAAAGCTCTAACCATTATCAGAAAAACTGTGCTTAGAATATTACAAGAAAATTGCTAGAGTAAACATATGCTTGCACTATGATGAGATGACGTTGATTAGAGAATTAGTGTTAAGCTGAATCGGTATATTCTTTGTATAATTGTTATGGCTATTGCTGCCATATATATCGCCGTGTTTTGTATAATATTTTGCTCAAAATTGAGATGGTTGCATGAATTCTGTGCAATTACCTCATTTAACATTTATTTGTGATTTACATCTGTATCAATTGGAAATTTTTTCAGCAAAGGACGCCAGAAATTTTTGCTGTATGAAGGGGGCCTGCATCAACAGCGTTTAAATTTTTTGGGAAGTTTTCTTTGTTTTCTCAAACTTCCCACTCTGTATACGAGATGTTAATCATCTCGTAGCACATTTCTGGAGAAGGCACAGATGCTAGCACAGATGCATTGTTTTGTGGTCGCCATCTGTGAAGTCGCGCGCAGCTGCAGCTAGAAGACATAGAGTCATGCATATAAGTATCGTTGTACTTAGCTTGCTCCCGCCATTCGCTTTGTTCTTTAGTTTTGCCTTCGCTCAATTCATTACATTTTGTAGTTTAGATCTCATTTATTCATTTCACTTTGTTATTTGTTTAATCATGTTTATTGTTGCTGTTTTGTTGCCAAGATAAAGTTTAATTACCCAAGTTTGAGCTGCGCTCGTGTCCAACCGCTCAGGACCCGCGTGGCAGACAATCTTTGTGGTTTTGGCTGACGAGTGGAATTAAACGATTGTAGTTCTGAGTATCATTACGTCTCCTATATTTAATAGAACAGGTGCATCGGCTGGGAAGATACACAGCGACATACAAGTTCCTTTGCTTTGCTTCACGGTACATCTACGATTAAACAATAAAGATTTGTTCTCACAACTGCACAGCTTATCTATTACCACTTACTCGATGACGACAACAATAAGAGTATACAAAGGACTAGTGAAAAAAAGGAACGATGTGGCACTGAACTGGCTACAAGAGTCGGCTCAGCTCCTTCAAAGGATAGGAGAAGGTGTAGGATGCAATGCGAACGAGCCAAGAAGATTACGATAGACATCACCACGTGCGAGTAATACACATAGATCTTCTGGAAACTTCAGTAACCAAGTCAACGAAAGCCTTCGACTATCTACAAGATGCCAACAACGAAGAAGAGGATCAATTAGATACGTACTTGGAGAACGCACAAGGAAAATAATGAAGCTGCACGCGCATTAGGAACCGCCGCCTGTATGTAAGACATGGGAAGCGCAAAACCTCACCTGTGATGTATTTGAAGATTGCAAATGTGCAGCAGCCGAAACAAAAATGATGTGCGATTGCAAAGAGGTAAATCTCACTTCCCTTATCAGCACTCCACAACACCGATTGCCGATGATACGACCTAACCTCGAATTTCGCGCTATCGATGAAAAGACCACAGCTCGGCTACCTCAACTGCCGACAGCAGAATTCATACTTCGAATGAGGAGCAAAGTTCGCATCACGGCGCTGCGATCCGACGCTATCTGTTCAGTGGAGGATGCCTACAGCACAGGATGCTACAACTGTGCTAAAGGAGCGATAGCATTACTAAAGTGCAGAGCTTTGATAGCGGCAACAAAAGCTGAAGTTGAGTGTGAAGACAGCCTCTTTGTCATCCCATGCAGTCAGGAAGGAACGGAGACCAATGTCACATTTGTTGCTGACAGAGCGCAATTTCACCGAAACTGCAAGCGCGATGTGGGATGGTTCAAACTACATTCGAAATCTCAGGTATCCTACACTACACGGGCAACTTAAACATGGCGGCGAGAAGAGTTTTACGAAGGGAAAGTGGATTAATCTCGGAGATGAACTTACCAGATTTTTCGCATCTGGCACAGACATTCTTGATGTGAGGCAGTGTGCTGGGAATCACAGTATTGGTAGTAATCGCTGCCTTGGTAACGTATCTCTATGCCTCCAATGCTTGTGTTCTGTCTGTCATCAGAACCTTCTATCGTGTAATCTACGCATTGTTCATATCAGCATGTCATTTGCTTAAATTCGTTGTGTGACATTACCCTTTCGATTCTCCGCATGCTTTGTCACCCAAAAAAGGGGCACTCGGAGAAAAAAATCCTATAAAATCATTGCACCTGCATGAGCACTATTCAACTTTAATTTGTATAGAATTCTTCTCATAGTAAGTTTACTCACCATATTTACTGTTGTATGTACAATTTCGACTTGTAACCTTCTTCATCCTGTAGACATGTCAACCGCTCAGTTGCAAAGAGTCGTGTCGCGTCCAACGTTTATAGCATGGCCGTAATTTTCATTGATGTCCGCATGGCTAGCACACCGCGGACAGTTTGCGCAAGTCTCCAGTATTTCATTTATGAAAGCCAACAGTTCCACGCAGTAACTTTGATTTCACAGAGAGGACAATCATGGATGCACAGAGAGGAAGAATGCTGCAATCGTTACGGTTATATCTCAATCGCCCCTGAGGCCAAACGAAGAGCAAGTTCAGCAACAGACAAAAGCCTGCGCAGAGAAATGCCACGATTATGAAGACCATCTAAACAATCAAAGTTGGATTTCACCGAGCTGAGATCTGACAGATGGGGGATACCCTAAAACTTGATAAAACCTATGGACTATATCATGAAATTGAAGAGTCTTCACTCCCATCAGCAGGAGAAACAGCCATAGGGATGGACCAGCTCATACTCGCACATGAATGGTATGAAAGACTTGTGGTGGCCAATGAAGCCCAGGAAAGGGACGCATTTTTTACTTGAACCAGTTAGAAGAAAGCGTTATCTTGAGGCCCACAACATCAGACGATCCGAATTATCCGCAGCTGCGGCCTGGACACCGCCACTAACAGGAAACCATGATGCCGATGGTTGACAAGACCAAAAGAGGATATGACGTGGTCTTGAGATCTGAGCTGGACCAATTTCGCGATGTGGAACAAGAGATCGGTAGAGCCAGACCTGTCCATGACCAAGAAAGAGAAGAACTGAACAATGCTATTACGGAGCTCGCACGCGAGTTCAGAGGAACAACAAGAAGAAACCCGAGACTGGGTGCAGCAGCAGATTGATAATGCACTGAACAAGGGAAAAGAACGAGACCTCCAGATGAAAAATGAAGCACAAAAACAACACGAGTTACTTCTCAAGGAGATCTCTGATACGAATTAACAAATCGTCAAGCTGGCGAAGCAGATAAAGGAGCACAGACGGAAACGCCTGAGGGAAGAAAGCCCCGACAGACCCGGTCCCTCGTACTCTCTCCCTGGTGAGGCCGGAGTATACGAGATGTTAATCATCTCGTAGCACATTTCTGGAGAAGGCACAGATGCTAGCACAGATGTATTGTTTTTGGTCGTCATCTGTAAAGTCGCGCACAGCTGGCTAGAAGAGATCATGCATTTGAGTAGTTTTGCCTTCTCTCAGTTCATTATATTTTGTAGTTTAGATCTCATTTATTCATTTCATTTGTTACCTGTTTAATCGTGTTTATTGTTGCTATTTTGTTGCCAAGATAAAGTTTAATTACCCAAGTTTGAGCTGCGCTCGTATCCAACCGCTCAAGACCCGCGTGGCAGATAATCTGGTTTTGACAAACGAGTAGTATTAGATGATTATAGTTCTGAGTATCATATCGTCTCCTATATTCAATAACCTTTGATTCAACTGGCTTGGCTTCGGGAAGGCGGGGTTCTGTGACCTAATTAAGGCCGCTCGCGCCTGCGACGCACCTGCGTCTCTCTCGCGCGAGTGCTCCCTGATCATTACCTAGCATTAATTGGGTCACGAAGCTTCGCCTTCCCGAAGCCGAGCCGGTTGAATCAAATGGTACATCTGGTTTTACTGAAGAAAACTTGACGCCACAAACATAAGAAAAATTATAAACTTTCTCAGAAGATTATAAAAGTTGAGATCTATCTAAGCATAGAAACAAATTGCTTGCATACTTTATAACTCATAAAATATATTATTCATTCCAAAAGTTCTTTCCTTTTTTTTTGACCTGTCATGAAAACAGGTAATAAAGACGGACAAATGTTTTAAAGGCTATTCTACGCAGCTTTTCTCTCTTTTCAGGTGTTAAGTTCCCGAGCCTTGGTTATGTGGCTACTAAAATAATCGCTGAATTTTGAACCCATGGTTTTTGCCACACTTTTTGGCAATTTTTCAAAATTTTCATTCTCAAGTTCTGGAAGAGTATTGTAAACGAACGATAGAGTAAACAAAATGCAATACAATAAGTTTTTGGGCGTCTCCGATTGGCTTATAAGCATTGAGATGATTTTTCCAAAAGTCTTATTTTTTGCAAAGCCGTATGACACACAACGCATCAAACACTAAGAAATCCTCGTTCGAGAATTTCTAAAACTCGACTTCCATTTGGCACTTATTTTACAAAACAATGAGCGTCCACCGCTTCAAGATATCGAATACTGAAATTTTCGGTACAGTCATAGACGCGATCAAAAATCCACAATGTTTTCACCCCCGAAGGTTCTACAAATAAATCGGAAAGATAAAACCTCCGTCAGAAAGTTGAAGAAAAGCTGCGTTGAACTATATATGAACTCCATTCGTTGATGTTCGAGGTTTGGCTTGACCAAATATGAAAATTCTTGAAATCGCAGAAATAATATTGGTAATTTTGAAAAGCCAGCTGGAGCTGCCAAAAAATTTATACTGCTGCACTTTGTTTGCTCTTTCCAGCTGTTAGCAAAACTTGTTTTAGAAGTTTGAATTAATGCCTGTGAAAAACTTCCAAGTTGGGCGTGGTAAAAAACATGGGTTAAAATTTTCTGCAGTTATCTCAATAACCACAAGAACAAGATTCGTCCGCAATGACTATTGGAAAGTGGAAGAGAAACTTCGAAATGTTTTGTTGTCTTTATCCCAGGTGTTTTTATATAGGTCGAAAAAATTGAAAGGGCAAATCGTTACTTTTGAAACAACATAGTATAATTAGACCATTGAAAATCTTGACTTACTCTCTGAGCAAGTCTTTCTCTTATTTGTGAATCTACCAGTCTAAAATGTTCGATTTAGAAATCGTTCCCTAATTTTGAAAGAATGCGAAGTAAAGCTACAAGTTCAACCTTATCCAGCCTCTTTTCGAGATAAGTTTGCAAGATTTCTCCTCAAATTTTTTTCAAGTTTCTTCCCCGTGATTAACTCATAGGCTTGACCGTAAGACTCGGGACGATAAATGTCAAGTAAAGGTACACAGGCGATACATCATCGTGCGTTCACAATCACATTAGGGCCGTTCTCGAATATCGGTCATCCATCACCAGAGTCGTTGATTGCGTCAAAGGTGTGGCTGACTAAAGCACTTTATCACAAAACGGCTTTCTAAAGAAATATCTGCGTCATTAGTCGATGCACGTTGATACTGGAAGTTCGTGCAGTTTTTTCTGCATTGCACTGCAAAACCTTCGAAGTTGTTAGGCTGTGCTAGGCGATGACGCAGTCTCACGGACTCAAAAACCTTTGGACTTGCACTTTGAAATTGGGTGATTCACGAACGATAGCCTGAAACTTTGAATTCATTCACAGCTCTCAGCGACAAATATGTACAAAAAACTGATAATTTATGGCTTTGCTTTTTTTATATAAGCTGCTGACGTTTCCCAGACGAACGGAATGTAAGCATTGCACCCTCTTGACATCTCGATTGTCTCACGCGCTCTTGCTACTCTCAACGTCTGCGTCTCTTGCAATCTCAAACTCCTTTTTTATACAAATAATACGTGGTTTATACAGACTCGCTATGTATTTCATCATTTGACTGTATATTGCCAATTGAAAATAAACTATCAGATTCTATACTACATATCTTAATCAATAATTATCTAGCTGTCCTTCAAATTTACATACAAAGTCTATGCCTACTGCGTATATGCGCGCTAGTTCACGACTTTTTGGAAGCTATTGATTCTTGGAGATTTCTTTGCTTTTTTCTCTCTTTGAACTTGGTTGGATAGACATCGGATGATAGTCCACAATACAACAGTTGGTTCCGCTTTGATACGTTCTACTGCAGATTACTAGTAAGAAAAGGAGTCTTGGGATTCCGCGCGCAGTGTGCGGGCTCACACAATATGTTAGAAATGACTTGCTCATACCCTTTGATTCAACTTGATTGGCGGCTGGAAGGCGGGGCTTTTTGTAACCTAGTTAAGTCTAGGATGATCAGAGAGCACGCGCTCGAGACAGACGCAGTTTGCGTCGCGAGCGCGAGCGGCCTTAATTAGGTCACAAAGCTTCGCCTTCCAGACGCTAATCCTGTTGGATCAAAGGTTATGTATGGATTGCACCTCCTCGATACATTACCAGCAGAAAACAGCGTTTAATTTTTGTTTGTATTGGGGCCTAGACAGGGATAGCCATTAGAAGGCTTTTCTGCGAATTTGCGAAAATAGACATGGTGCTAAAGGGGGTTCACCCACATTCTAAAAATGAGAGAAGTGCATGTATTTACTGCTGTTTTCACAGGTAGAAAGAGAAATTGACTCTAATGGTACCAAAACGTTTTTTAAATGAATTTTCCAGCTGAACTATGCGAAATAAAAGCATTTCAAAGAACGAGTTAATTTTCTATTGTGACATAAATGGATACATGATTACATGTAATCCTTCTCCTTCCCTCCTTCTTGAAAAAGCGAAGAGTTCTCGACCTTAGCGCTCAAATGTATTATTAGTACGATTATTGGCATTGTGCACTTCTAGTGCAAAAGAGGCTCAAAAAGGAAGCTAATTAGCATTTGCCTAGGAATGCAAAAGTGCGGCAGTATGTCACTAACATTGAATATGGATTTCACCTTTTTGTGCCTCCAAGCATGTAGTTCAGTGTGACGTATATAGTGCCGCTGCAGTGTCGACAACATTTGTGCGTAAAAATAGGCAGAAGGGGTGATTCATTTGCTTCCGCGCCAGTGGCCAATTTTTACGCGCAGGGGTTGTCAACATCAGGGATAGTGTGCTAACCTCATTATTAAAGTTGGATAATGAAAGAGAGCATGTTCTAGGATAATTTATTTGTGTATTATCGGGGTTTAGCAGAAAAGCTCTCCTCCACTAATATTTCTTCTTCTCAGATAACTGACCGCAACTTCCGCAGAACGTTTGGGAGGGTTCCGCCGTGTCACGTGCGGAAGTTCCGTGAACGTGCTGCGGAAGTTCCCCAATTAGGTGGCGCGGAAGTTCCGAAGAATACCAATCACAACGACACAAAAGAACAGATAGCGAGATTTAAACGATGCTCTATTGACTGTGAGACTCACTCATTATTCTCTGCACTACGGACGACATGTTCAACGGGGCACTCTACAGCGAAAGTACAGACTGGCATGTCAAAGTGCTGGAACCGCTGGCATTTTCGGAAGTTCCGCAAGGCCTTGTAAAAGGTCCTGTCGAAATTTCGTTTTCAACCAGTCTGATGTGAAAATCCTGCGAAAGTTCCATTTTTTAAGGTTTCCAACCTCGTACTAGTAAACAAAATCCTTAACCGCTACAAATTTTGCTTGTCTTGCGGAAGTTCCGGTGGATTTTCTGAGTCAAAAGTTTGTGTTGAAAGTCCCATCAAAGAGCAAATAGGGAAGAATAGATATGATCTTTGAACTATAGGTTTTGAATATAATATCTCTTCCAAAATTTCCCCAATAAACTCTTATATTCACTTTTTTGGTTAGTTTTGTAGTCGTCATCAAATGTTATTCAGTCCGAATTCATTTTGATTTTCATTTTTTTTGTTGAATGAAATGAAATGAATCCGAATTCGTTGCTGCGGACTTCATGAAAAACAAAAAGCTCTTCGTATTTGTCTCATCAGTTGTATTTTTTAGATACCGTAAATACAGTTTTCTTGATCATCTGTACAAATAGAATATATTTTACTCAGTTTTTACGAATCCGTTTGCTGTCAAGATTCATTATTTCAGTATAGTTTTCAACGCAGGCTGTCCAGCACATGCAACTACTTGACTTGCTTTCAATAATGGCAGCTTTTTTATAAGTCTAGACGACGTTTTTCAATGAAGTGTAATGTTCACCCATACAGATCCTCAAATAAACTAGTAATTTGTTATATTTCTTCTAGTTACACCACTTTTTTCACTCGTCCATAGCATTTCCTGTTTCTAACAGATGTATTTTCCTTTAAGTGCTAAAATTTC